CTCGTGCTCCACGCAGGTCTCTCCCCTCCCAGTGCTCCCAGTTCAGCTGTGTGCACTGGGGGTGTGGGTGGTGGTGTGGTGGAGGAGGAGGGGGTCAGGCTGGGCAATCCGTGCCCTGTTGGCTCAGGGATTCAGGTGGGAGCGTTGCTGCCTGCCCTCGTCAGGTGTAGGAAGGAGGGAATGCCAATCCCTGAGGGGTTTGGGATGAGGGAGGCTCCCAGTCCCTCCAGTGCTGCACTGGTGCTGGTCAGCCCAAGGCTTGGTGCCCCACTTACACCTGTGAGCTTTTCATTCTGCAGCTCTGCTCCACACAGGTGTCTCCAAGCTGGGATGTTTCTGCAGAGGGCACAAAGCACCTGCTTAGCTCCTGGTTTAGATTTTCCCAGAAAAAAAAGGATTTGAGGAGCCCAGAGCTCCAGCTGCGCCACATCGGGTGCCAGGCGTGTGCCAGTCCTGCACTGACTGCACGGGAAGAGTCCCAGGATGGTTAAATTCCCGTTAAATGATTAAAAAATTAAATTAAAATGTTCTGGCCTTGCCAGGCTTGGGAACAATCAGCTCCTCGCCCTATGGGCACCCTGGACGAGGGCAGAGCTGTTTCCTGGTCACTGTGAAAGCTGCAGCTCCGGTTTTGATTTGCTAATTTGCTAATGGTTCATTCCAAGAGGGGAGGGAGGGAGGGCCTGGCCTTCTCCAGACGCTGAAACCATCCTGTCCCTTTCTGCTGGCTCTTGGCAAGCCCCAGAGTCCCTCTTGGCTTTGGAGAGTTCTCAGGGTTCTTCTCCTAGGAAACATGCAGGGTGCTGAAAGGACTTGCAGGGGTTGTGTGGAGGGAGGGGCAGGGAAGCAGGGCTGGGAATGCAGCTCTGGGGAAAAGGGTGGGAGCCCCTGGGGGACCGGCCAGGCTGGGGTCAGCCCCTTGGGCAGGGGGACACAAACCCTGCTGCAGGGTGCGGGGCTCCGCGTGCTGCCCTGCCGGGGCTTTGGAGAGTGTGTGCGTGTGCTTTTTGGAGTGTGAGTGCTCCACGCTGGCTGTGTCCTGCTGTGTGGGTTTTTTAATTGAATCATCATTTAGAAAGGCTTTTTGTTTTTTCACCCTCTGCCTGCTTTTCTGTCCTGGGAGCTGTTTCAAACCCTCTCTTGCTCCAGGCTGGAATCCCACCCTGCTGCCAGCAGGGGAGAGGGTCATTTGGACCTGGAGCATGGATCCCAGGCTGAGCCAAGCATTCCTTGGGGTGGTGACGACACTCCTCAGGGTCTGGGGACAGGCAGGGCTCACAGCAGGCTGAACTGGGGGGTTTTCCCCCAAAATCTCCCCGCCAGCACATCCCGGGGCTGCTGTGTTCTGCCAACTGCGATTGCTGAACACAGTCTGTGTTCTGCCAACAGCCTGGGCTGCCCAAACCCCTGGGGCTGCTCCAGTTTGTTGAGGTTTATGGTGTTTGTGCCACGTGTCCCAAAGGGATCAAGGTGCACAGGACCTTTTCCCTTTGGACACAGGTGTCTGTTGGTACAGAGGGGTTTTTGCCAAATATTCCCACTGTTTAGGCTTGAGCCAGCACGTGATTTGTTTTCTGCTGCAGTGCAATGCACCTTGCTTGGAAGGATCAGAATTTTTTACAGCTCTTTGTACTGTTTATTTTTAATTTTCTGTGTGGTGAAATCAGTAAAGGGATTAAAAAAGACACAAACGGTTGAGTTTTCACTTCTCTCTTGGTTTTGTTTTTCTTGCACGTTCTTTGCACGGTTTTCATTGACACCTGGCGCCAAAGGTGCAGGGTGGCTCCTCTTTATGCAAAATAAGGTTTTTTTACGAAAAGCCATGTTTTTGTGGAGCTGTCTGTGCTCAGAGCTCCGTGTGCAGCCGGAAGGAGCCCAGACAGGCCCGGGCCAGAGCGGATTTGAAGTTTCCAGTCTGCTTTCCAGGGCCCGGTGTCAGCCCAGCTCCACTGGGTGCTCTCAGGTCAGGGCCCCAGAGGAGATTAAACTGCTCTGGGCACAGCTTAGTCCTGAGCTCTGCCCTGGGATCTCTGCTTTGTCCTGCAGAGAGCCCCAGAGGGCAGTGCCAGCGCGTCCCGGCTGGCTGGAGAGGTGCGGGACGGGAGGAGAAGGTGCCCGGGGCACGCTGAGGGCACTCCGGGCAGGGTTTGGGATGAAGTCCCTCCTTTCCCCCGCCTCCTTTCCCTGCCAGGAGCGGGTCCCGCCTTCCCCTCTCCTCCCGGCCCGCCTGGCAGCATTGGAGCCCCTGGTTTTCCTGGGAATGGGTTACTCACAGCTTGCAGCAGGAAATAAGGGTGAAAATGGGGGATCACAGGGAGAGTCCCATGGGGATGTGGGGTTGGGAGGGACCTTTCAGGCCCCCCAGCTCCCAGCCTGCTGCCAGGGGCTCGGAGCACTGCTCTCTGTGCTTAGGGTGAATCCCCAAAAACTCAGGAACCCCCAGCCTGCTCCCACCCGCCTCTCAGAGGGCTGGAGGGCCCCAGAGGGCTTCGGCAGGCAGGGCAGGTCCTGTCCGGGTGCAGGGAGCACTGGGGCACCCCGGGGCTGGGCAGTGCCCGTGGGGCCGTGCGGGGGCGGCTGCCCCCGAGCCAAAGTCCACGAGGGGAAATAATGCCAAATAAAATCAGAAACGCTTTGCCAGCTGGGCCGGGCCCTCTTATCGGGGCAGGATTGAGACATTGTGATAGAGGCAGCTCAGCAGAGAGGCCCCGAGGGTGGAGGAGCTCTCAGGCATGAGAAACTGGGTGAAAGTGGGCACAGGGCTGGGCTGTGCCCTTCCACCCTCCTGCTGCTGTGCAGCGTGCAGCTCTCCCCAGCTGGCAGGGGACAGGATGTGGGGAAAGGGCCTCAAGCTGTGCCAGGCTGGATTTTGGGAAGATTCCTCCACCCCAGGCCCCGAGCAGGGGTGGAGACCCCGTCCCTGGGGGCTTTAGCAGCTGTGTGGATGTGGCACCTGGGCACACGGGGCACTCTTGGCAGCTGGACTTGGTGGTGTCGGGGCTTGTCCAGCCCAGAGCACTCCAGGCTTCTGTGAAACGCTGCTGCAGCCACTCCCTAAGCTCCACTCTGCCCCCCTGGCCTGCAAACCCCATTAACCTCCCCGGGTTTGTTTGATCTCATCTTCCTCTCCTGAAGGCTTCGAGTCCTGCACGGCCTCCTGGGCAAACAGCTGAACCTGGGCTGATCTCACAGCAGGTATTTTCCTTATGGGCAGGGCACCAGCCAAGCAAACACATCAGCTTTGCCTCTGCATGACAGATTCCATGGCCTGGGACCGTTTGTGTGGGTTAAAACACCACCAGCATGACTGAGATGGCGTTTGCAGGGTTGGAGCTCCTTGGGGTGAGAAAAGCAGGAGGAGAGGCAGGGTTGGATCTCCTTGGAGCTGCAGGGGGAAGGTTGGGTGTCACTGCACTGTTCTGGGCCTAAATCAGATGTTTCTGCTCTGCAGAGGGTCCCTGGGAAGAGGACCTGGCTCTTCTGCCAGGGAACAATTCCTCATTCCCAATGTCCATCCATCCCTGCCCCCTGGCAGTGGGAGCCATTCCCTGTGTCCTGTCCCTCCATCCCTGTCCCCAGTCCCTCTCCAGCTCTCCTGGAGCCCCTTCAGCTCTCCCTGGAGCCTTGTCCAGGTGAGCACCCCCATTTTCCCCATCCTGGACTCGCTCCAGAAGCTCCACATCCCTCTGGTGCTGGAGCAGAGCTGGGGGAAGCTCTGCAGTGCCCTCAGGTTGGGTCTCAGCTGGGCTGGAGGGGCCAGAGCCGCCTCCCCGGGTCCCTGCCGTGCCCTGGGCTCCTCGAGGGGCTGGCTCTGGGTGATCTCCCCTGGCTGAGCTCACCTTCTCTGCAAATCCCATCCCATCACTGAATTATCTCTCTGCTCAGTGATCTAATCCTCTTTGCCAGATCAGCCCTCAAGCCTCTTTCCAGGGCTCCTTTCCAGCACGGTCACACTATTCCCTGCTCGGTCACACTGCTTCCTGCTCAGCAGCTGCCTCTGGCCTCTGTTTTTCCATGCTTCCATGTTTTTCCATGCTCCATCAGCACATTCCCTTCTCCCTCAGCACCCCCAGCCCCACTGACCCATCATGAGGCGCAAACCCCAGTTTCATGATCACTATTTTATTACTTCCAGTCTCACGTGCCTCCCTTCCCATCTGGAGAGGACTTTCATCCCATTCCCAAGCTTTTACCAGCAGACAGAAGGACTTTGTTGCTGCTAAAGGAGCATGAGCTTGTGCCTTGGGGCAATGGGGGAGAGCAGCACCTAAACACTGGGAATTCTGGAGGGCTGGGGAATGACTCTGGAAGCACTGGAGAGCCTGCAGGCTCTCAGACAGCCCTGGGGCTGCAGGGGGAGGTGGGCTTTGGCTGGGGGAGGTGGGCTTTGGCAGGGGGCTGCAGGTGGAGGTGGGCTTTGGCTGGGGCTGCAGGTGGAGGTGGGCTTTGGCTGGGGGAGGTGGGCTTTGGCTGGGGCTGCAGGTGGAGGTGGGCTTTGGCTGGGGCTGCAGGGGGAGGTGGGCTTTGGCTGGGGGAGGTGGGCTTTGGCTGGGGCTGCAGGTGGAGGTGGGCTTTGGCTGGGGGAGGTGGGCTTTGGCAGGGGGCTGCAGGGGGAGGTGGGCTTTGGCTGGGGGAGGTGGGCTTTGGCTGGGGGCTGCTGGGGGAGGTGGGCTTTGGCTGGGGGCTTTGGCTGGCGTCAGTGATCACAACGGGGTCAAGCAGCCACGGGAGCTGCTGGTGCTCCCATTTTGGGGTTATCTTGACTTCTCTCCCGGCCACAACAGCTCCTGGGCACTCCCTTCATGGCCAGGGCCCAGCACTGACACGATGGTGGAAGGGGATGCATTTTTTAGGGGGGTGAGTTCCAACACAATCTGTCTGAGCACGGGAACGGCATCGCCCCGGATGAAATCCCTCAGCTTGGCACAGAGACGGGTCTGCTACAGGTGTGTGGCAGGTGAGGGTGAGCTGGGGTGCAGTGCTGGGGAGCAGGGGCCCTGCTGGGGGGGATGGCAGCCTTTAGTCTCCCTTCTTGGCGCTGGCGGCCTGCAGGCGCATCTTCAGCCGCGCCATGTCCGCGTACAGGTTGCGCTTGAGGATGGCGCTGGCGCAGATGAGGGCTCCCTGCAGGGCCCCCATGAAGCCCCCCAGGCACAAATCCTGCCCTGCAAGGAGGGAGCAGCAATGAGGTCCCCTGAGAGCAGCCCTCAGTCCCCACTCCGTCCCAGCCAGCATCAATGGGGGTTTGGGCATCACCTTCCAGCTGCCCCGCGCCGTCCCTGGGCTCTGAACCACAACCCCTTCCCTTGTGTGCAACAGGGGATCCCCACCGTGCCCTGGGCAGGGGACAGCCCCCAGAGCTGGGGGAGCACAGCCTTCCCTCCTCCCCTGGAACTCTGCTTTTCCAGGCGTTATCCCACTGCCCCACAGCGGCTCTTTGCTTTGCTCCATTTCAGGATTGCGGGTTTTCCCACCCCGTCCCGCTCCCCCGGAGCTGTCCTGCTCTGAGGACCCCGGTGGCCCTGTCACCTGTCAGGTAGAGGTTGGGCACGGCCGTGTCTGCCCGCACGGTGGCAATGGCCTCGGCCTGCAGCCGGGGGATGCCGTGGTCAACGCCGTAGAACTCGCCATGGGGACTGGCAATGTAGTGCTGGTTGGTGAGGGGAGTGCCACCGGACAGGTACTCGATCTGTGGGGACAGGGACAGGGACACAGTGAGTGCTGGTTGGTGAGGGGAGTGCCGCCAGACAGGTACTCGATCTGTGGGGACAGAGACAGGGACAGGGACACAGTGAGTGCTGGTTGGTCAGGGGAGTGCCGCCGGACAGGTACTCGATCTGTGGGGACAGGGACAGGGACACAGTGAGTGCTGGTTGGTGAGGGGAGTGCCGCCAGACAGGTACTCGATCTGTGGGGACAGAGACAGGGACAGGGTGGTCATCCTGGGATGGTCACCGAGGTCTGCCCAGGCTGGATGGGGATTGGAGCAAGCTGGTCTGGTGGAAGGTGTCCCTGCTCATGACGGCTGGAACTGGATGAGCTTTAACGTCTTTTCCAACCCAAACCATTCCATGACTCCACAGTCATTGGGTAGGTAGAGGGGAGGACCCCTGAACCCGAGTTTGGGACTCCCGAATCTGAGTTTAGGACCCCTGAATCTGAGTTTGGGACCCCTGAACCTCACGTTTCCTCACCCGGCCCTCGATGCGAGGGTAGAGCTTGTAGACGGTCTGCATGATGGCATCCACAAAAGTCTTCTTCAGGTCCTCGTAGTCATCCCCCCTCTTGTGGACCTGCTTGTCCTTCCACTCCTCGAACCACTCGTACCTGGCGAAGGTGACGATGGCCAGCGTGGATTTACCTGCAGGAGGACAAGGCTGGGGTGCTTGTCCCTCTGCCCACCCTCATCCCACCCTGTCACTGCCCCAAACCCAGGGGATGTCCCCAGATCCTTGGGGTTCCCTGTCCTTCATCCAGGTGCATTCCATGAGCCCCCCATGCTCAGCAGCTTTGCCCATGGATGGCTGAGTGGAAACTCCTTATTTGGGATCACCAAACCCCATCAGGAGTTTTGAAACCCCTCACAAGCGTTTGTGGCCAGTGTCAGCCTCACCTGGGTGCCTCATTTCCCAGGTGGGGTCCTTGGCTGATGGCGAGGTGACATAGATCAAGGGGATGTTGTTGGCAGCTTCTTCTCTGGGTAAAGCCAGGTAGCGCTGCATGCTGCAGGAGAGGGAAGGGCTGAGCAGGGGCTCGGGGCACAGCTCCCTGAGTCACTGCCCAGGAATCCATCTCCTCACGATCAGCCAAGCACATCCGAGGCGAAGCCAAACCTACATTCCATCCAGGTCGTGCCCGGGGAACATGTAGTAGTTGGTGGCCTCCAGCCCCAGCTCCTCCCTGGAGCCGCTGAGGCCGACAAAGACGGTGAAGCCGCCCTCGCCAGGGGCCAGCATGTGGAGCTGGGACTGGATCTCTGCAGCGTGGGGGAAAAGGGGGGCAATTAGGGGGGAAATCAGGCTTTTCTAGGATTCCTAGATACAGAGAAGTGGTTTCTCCAATCCTGGTGCTTTCCCACAAACCCTGACCCTTCCCACCCACACAAAGCATCCCCTTTCCACCCAACTGTGACCCTTCCACCCACCTGTGACCCTTCCACCTGGCTGTCACCCTTCCACCTGGCTGTCACCCTTCCACCTGTGACCCTTCCACCCACCTGTGACCCTTCCACCTGGCTGTCACCCTTTCACCTGGCTGTCACCCTTCCACCTGTGACCCTTCCACCCACCTGTGACCCTTCCACCTGGCTGTCACCCTTCCACCTGTGACCCTTCCACCCACCTGTGACCCTTCCACCTGGCTGTCACCCTTCCACCTGGCTGTCACCCTTCCACCTGTGACCCTTCCACCCACCTGTGACCCTTCCACCTGGCTGTCACCCTTCCACCTGACTGTGCCCTTCCACGCAATGTGACCCGTCTACCCGATTGTGCCCCTTCCCAAGCACCTCTGTCCCCTTCCCCTCATCCCTGCCCCTTCCAGAAGATCTTCTAGGACATTCTACCAACTCCCAAGAATTTCGGGGCCCTGCACTGCATATTTTAGAGAATCCCCGCACCAAACCACAGCCAGTTTGGGGCAGTGAATTTAAGCAGAACGAAACCCCCGTGGAGAAAGGAGCGGCCGGGGCCGGGTTTGCAGGGCTTGGCACGGGAGCGCCGGGGGGTTCGCGGTGTTAATTGGTAAATCGGCTTTGCCGCGGGGCTCAGCGCGGCATTAGCGCCGTAACCCCGGCGGAGCCGCACCCGGCAGAGCCCGCGCCTCCGCCGGCAGCAGCCGCTCGTAGGTGTTGAAGATGCCGGCATCCGAAATGACCACGGGAGCGAAGATTTCCACCGAGTCCTGGCCTTTCCTGACGCTCACACCTGGCGGGGGAATCCAGAGGGGGCAGAATGAGGCGCTGGTGGAAGGAACCCCCTTTGGGAGCGCCCCGAGCCCGGCGCTCACCGCAGGCTCTGCCCTGCGCGTCCAGCAGGATCCTCTGCACCGGCGCCTTCCCAAAGACGTTTCCTCCGGCGCTGCGGATCACGGGGATGGTGTGGAAGGCGATTTCCCCCGCGCCGCCCTTGGGGTACCAGGCGCCGTGCAGGAAATGGTTCACCAGGATGCTGTGCATGGAGAAGCTGGCCTTGGAGGGGAGCACGCCTGGGAAAAGGGGTGGGTGTGGGCACATCATGGGCTTGGAGCTTGTCCTAAGTGTTTTAGGATAAGGAACACTTTGTACATCGCCTTGTACAGCAATGATGTCAGCCCATGGGGAAGATGAGCAATGCAGAGGGAAAGAGATGGAGATGAGCAATGGGGACAGGTCACCTGACAGGGACTTGGGGACGAGGATGCTGGCGAAGCAACCACCAGAATAATCATGCAAACCTTCCAAAAAAGGGGTTCTTACCTTTTTCCTGTTTCTAAAGGGTTTAACGTCACCCCAGGGCCTCCTGGTCACCTACCATAGGTGGGGAAGATGTAGCTGAGGACAGCCCGGAGCTCGGGGTTGGGGGTGAGACCATCCACCACCTCCTTGACGCTGCGTGAGGCCAGCTGGGAGAAGGAGCAGAGCCGTGGGAGCAGCCTGGAGCAGATCAGGAGCTTGGCCAGGAACCTGGGGAGCATCTTCAGGATGCTCAGCAGCACAACCCCACGGCCGGCGCTCTGCAGGGACAAACAGGGGCTCAGACACACTGCTAACTGCTGCAAAGCAGTTTTTACCCTTAAATTCACCGCTGGGCAGCTGTGGGCAAGGGCAGTGAGTACTGGCTCCCTCAAAAACCTTCCCTCAAAAAGCTTCCCTCAAAAACCTCCTTCAAGAGAACCTTATGCCAAAAAGCTTCCCCATCGAAACTCCTCCAGAGAGCTCCTCCCCAAAAACTTCCCCAAAAAATTGGTTCTTGAGAAAAGCTTCCTCAAACACCTCTGCCCCAACTCCTTAAAGAACTTCTTTAAAGAAATCTCCCCCAAAACATCTGTGATGCTGCATTTTTGAGGCAGAAAGGGGCGATTTTGCCCGATTTTGAGACTGGTGTGTTTCCCAGCGCTTTTGGGGTGAGGCCATCGTTCCCGGGGCTCCCCTCGTTGTGTGACCCCCAGACCCGGGCTCCCCTGGTGTCACCCCACCTTCACCAACCGCTGGAACTCATCGATGGCCGCGGCCTCCCCGGGGAACTGCTCCTTCAGCCTCTGGAAATATTCCCTCTTCCCAGAGTGGATGTGGAAGGTCTTGCCAGAGCCCTGGGGGTCCCCCAGAACCACGGCATCGTAGGTGGCCGGCAGTGGGGCCCACTCCAGCTGCCCATCTGTCAGCTGGTCCACCAGGAACCGCATCAGGGAGCCCTCCTGCATCTGCCCCACATAGTGGATCCCTAAAATAGACATTTTTTCCTTTATTTTCCTCTTTTTTTCTTTATTTTCCTCTTTTTCCCTTTATTTTCACCTCTTTTTTCTTTCATTTTCCCGCCCCAGGATGCACCAAACCCACCTCTCATTTATCCATCCCCACCCCACCAGCTCCCCGTGGAAGGGAAAGGGAAAATCGGGGATACACCTGCCTCCCAGCTGGGGTGAATGGCACTGACCACAGTGGTTTTATCTGGTAATTCTGAGTTTTGTTACACTTAGCTATCCATCTCTGCTGTAAATAATCAATCCTGGAGATTCAGGGACACGCAGAGCTGGACTTTGTCTCACCACGAGAAGTTTTCCGGCAAGAAATGTCCTGAGGTGACATTCCCCATGCTGGGAGCCACACAGGGGCCTTGGTGTCCAGCACCCAGAGGGTTTTGGGGTGAAAAGCCGGAGAATGGGTTGTGTAACACGAAGAGGGTGGGAATGGGCTGTGTAACACGAAGAGGGGAGCTCCCGCACAGCTGTGGGGAATTTGGGGGTTTGGTATTTGGGGGTTTTGGGGCGAAGAGCAGCAGAATGGTTTGTGTAACAGGGTCGGTGTGCAGGGGAGCTCCCACCCTGAGGGTATCCCCTGCCCCTCCCCGGGCCCCGGGGGGATTCGGGGGCCCCGAACACGGTACCGGTGTCGAACTCGAAGCCCTTCTCGGTGAAGGTGTGGCAGCAGCCGCCCAGCTTGCCGTGCTGCTCCAGCACCAGCACCCGCCAGCCCGCCTTGGCCAGCAGCGCCGCGGCCGCCAGCCCGCCGATGCCGCTGCCCACCACGATGGCATCGAGCTCCGGCGGCACCTTGTCCGCCGAGAACACTGCGGGACACGGCGGCGTCACCGGGGCGTCCCCGCGGCTCCGGGGACCCCGGAACCGCCGGGAGAGGGGGGGACACTGGGGGGACAACAACACCCTGGGGGGGTCCGTGACACCGGGGTGACAGTGCCAGCCCGGGGGACGTCGCTCCGGGAAGTTAATGGCAGCCCGGAGGGGTCCCGTCCCGGGGACGATCCACCCGGCGCTGGCGATGCCGCCCCGGGTCTGACCCCGCCCGGGGGCCTCGGTGGCCCCGGGGGTCCCGTACCTGTCTTGACGACGGTCCTGCGCACGGCCTTGTCGGTGACGAGCGGGCCGGGCGGGCGGCGGCTGTCGGTGGCGAAGGGGTTGCGGCTGCCCGAGCCCCGCAGGAGCACGAGCGAGAGGAGGGCGAGGAGGAGGAGGAGAAGGGCGGCGAGGAAGAGCAGCGCCTGCAGCCACATGGTGCCGCGGGAGCCGCGCTGTGCCGGGAGCCGGGAACGGCGGCACGAACGGGAACGGCGGGCACGGGGGTGGCTCCGGCACGGGGCGGGGGGACCGCGGGGAGGAGCGAGGGCGGGCACTGGGAGCCGGGACCGGGAAGTGGCGTTGGGCACCGGGAACTGATCCTGGGCACTGGGAATTGAGACTGCGCACTGGGAACTGGGACTGGGCACCGGGAACTGGGACCGGGAAGTGGCATTGGGCACCGGGAGCTGGTTCTGGGCACCGGGAGCTGGTCCTGAGCACTGGGAACTGGGACTGGGCACCGGGAGCTGGGGCTGGGCACCGGGAGCGGGGAAGTGGCATTGGGCACCGGGAGCTAGGACTGGGAAGTGAGAGCTGACACTGGGCACCAGGAGCTGGCACTGAGATCTGGCGACACCGGGAGCTGGCACTGGCATTCTGGGAGCTGGGACTGGCACTGGGCGGTGGCACTGGTGTCGCCAGGTCCGGTCGCCCCTCTGCAGGCTCCGGGAGCCCCAAGTCCCATTCCGGCCACCGGCCCCGTTCCAGCTCCGCCGCTTGGGCCCCGCCCCGCCCCACCCATTTCCGCCCCGCCCCACCCATTTCCGCCCCGCCCCGCCCCACCTATTTTCGCCCCGCCCACCAGGCCACGCCTTCGCCCCGTGCGCCTCCGTTTCCGCGTCGCGCGGTGCACGCCGGGAATTGTAGTCCCGCGCGCCATCTCTAGCGGGCGGAGGTGCGGACTACAGCTCCCGGCGTGCAGCGAGGCTGCGCCTGCGCAGTGAGGCGGCCTCGGGCTGGGGGAGCTGAGGGGTCAGAGAGGCTGGAACGAGACCGGGTCTGGAACGAGCCTGGAACGGACTCCTGAGGGGCTGAGCGGGCTGGGACGGGCTCCTGAGGGGGTGTCAGTTGCCGGGACGCCCCCGTTGCCACCAGCCCTTCTCTCCCGCAGGCCATGAGCGGCGCCGCGGGCTGGGAGCGGCCGGAGGAATGGCCACAGGAGCGGCCGGAGGAGCGGCAGCGCGTGGTGCCCCCGGCAAGTCCCGTCCCGAGCGTGTCCGGCCGGAGCCCCCCCAGCCGAGACCCGCGGGACCCCCACCTCAGGGGTGCCAGCCTTCTCTTCCCCTCCTTGCTCCATTTCTGCCGTTACAACCACATAAAGTCCTCCTGAGGGTGCAGACCCTCCCTGAAGGGGCCTGAGCCGGGGGCCTCGGGGGCTGTTCCCTGGGGGAAAGCTTGGGATTGGGGTGGGCCGGAGTTTGGGGTCTGCCGCGGGGGTGACGCTGTGTTTGTTCCCTCTGTCCCCTCAGATTGCAGCTCTGGGGCAGGGAGGCGTCCTGCAGGAGCTGGTGCTCGCAGACGGGCAGCCCCCAGCGCCTGGTGAGCTTTTCCGGCTTCCCTTGGATCGGTCCTGGCGTTTCCTGGTGGGAAAGTCACCTGCGAGCCCCAGGGATCAAGCAGGGGAGATGTCTCGGTCAAATATCAGTCTGGTCGCAGATCATTCCCCAAACTCACCCCAGACAAACCTTGTGGGGTGGCTCCGGTTGGGATTTTCCTTGCAAAAGAGGAAACTCAGCCCCAGGGTGTCCCGAGCGGGGCTGGGGGCTGAGGGAAGCCCCCCAGTCCGTGCCTGCCCCCCAGATGTGATTCCGGCACCCCTTCCCTCGGGCAGGGATCAGCGAGGAGCAGCGCCAGGCCCAGGAGGAGTGGGAGGCTCTGGAAGAGATCCAGTCAGGTACTGGGACTAACGGGGAAGGGGGAAGGGAGCCGCGGATGGATGGGGGCGTTATTTGGGATGGAGGGGAGGGAGATGGCGGCCGGTTCCTTTTTCCCTTTGTTCCCCACGGCTTCCTTCTCCTGGAGCCGGGGTTAATTCGGGGTGAAATCAGGGCTCCGTGGGTCTGACCCTCTCCCTGCCTCCCTGCAGGGTTGGGGGGCACCTCGGGCGCGGCCCCCCCTCCGATTTCCTTCTCGGAGGCGCTGCAGCACTTCCAGAGCGCGGAGCTGCCCTGCAGCCGGGTACGGCCGGGCTCCGGCCCCGCTCCTCGCCGGCAGAGGGGCGCCGGCCCCTGCCCCGCCCCGGGCCGCGTCCCTGAGCGCTCCGGGCTCCTCTCTCTCCCGCAGGGCTCGGCCCGGGCCCCGGCGCGCCGCGGCGTCCTGGCCGCCCTGCTGCGCTGCCTGCGCGGGCCGCCCCGGCTGCGCCCGCAGCTCCGCGGCGAGCAGGAGCTGGCGCTGGCCATGGCACAGTGTGAGTGGCCCCGGGGTGCCCTTGGTGCCCCGCTGCATCCCATCCCGCTCCCCACGGGCGCAGCTCCGGCTCCACGGCCCTTCTGCCCCTCGGTGCAACGGGGTGGGAATCACCCGCTCCCTTGGCGTGAGGGGACACAGCTCTGGCCCCACGGCCCTTCTGCCCCTCAGTGCAGGGGCAACGGGGTGGGAATCAGCCGCTCCCTTGGCGTGAGGGGGTACACACACATGGGAACCCTGGGTCTATGGGTCTGGGGGGAGAGTGGCCTTTTCTGGGCACCGAGGGGGTTCTGAAGGTGCAAAGCTGTGCTTTTTAGGTGCTGTGAGGGTGAGGCTTTGTTTTGGGCACTGAGGGATATTTTCTGGGTTTTCTAGGGTGTTGAGGGGTGAGTTTGGGGTCTTTTGAGCACCAGGAGGCATCTTTTGGGTGCTGAGAGGTGGTTTTGAGAAATGAGGGGGATGTTTAGGGTGCCATGGGGCATGGGTTTGGCTGCTGAGGGTTTTACAGTGCCAAGGGGCGTTTTTAGGTAATGAGATTTTTTTGGAGGACATGAGGTGTTTTTTAGGCGCCAGTGAATGATTCTGGGGGCCAGGGGGTGTTGTTGGGGCACTGAGGGATTGGTCACAGACGCCAGGAGTGTTGTGAGCAGCCGGGTGCCGGCTCCCTCCCTGCAGGTGCCCTGGATGACTCGGAGCGGGTGCACATGCGGATCCTGCAGACCATCTACCGGCAACTGACGCGCTCCAGGCTGGGCTGCCCGCGCTACGGGGCACACTGGGAGGAGCTGGGCTTCCAGGGTAGGGCAGGGAGCAGCCCTCTGCCTGGGGGCATCCCCAAAATCCATCCAGACCTCCCCTGGAACCTGCCCGTTCCATCCCAGCTCCCTCAGGCACTCCCTGTGCTCCAGAGCCAGCCCCACTGGCCTCCCTTGGGCATCTCCAGCACCTCAGTGTCCTCCTTGGACCCCAAAACTGACGCCAGGCTTTGATCACCCCGATCCTCCCACTCCATATCCCTACAAAGTTCCCAGGGGCACTCTCAGTCCTTTTGTCCATGGAAGAATTGAATTAAACCAAACTGGCCCCAGTACGAGATCTGGACTGGTTGGCAGGGTCACCCCAGTACCACGTTCCTAAAAAAGCTGGTAATTCCTGGAGGGATGTGGGAGTGGTGGGGTGGGGCAGGGGCTGGTTAATGCCCGGGTGATGGCTCCATCAGGGAAATTGCTGCAAGCTTTCCCTCAGGAAAGGGGATTCCAGGATTGTTGGGCCCTGGAGGTGCAGTGACAGGGAGTGCAGGGAATAAACAGCCCACGGAGGTGGGAAGGGGGCAGAGGGTGACTCCAGGCTGTCCCTCACCCTGCCAGGTGCAGATCCTGGCACTGACCTGCGTGGGACAGGAATGCTGGGGCTGATGCAGATCCTGTTCTTTGTCCTGGATTCCCGGACGCTGCCGCTGGCACGGGAGATCTTCCAGCTCTCCCAGCATGAAACCCAGGCATGACCTTACCCCCACCCCGACAGGGGGTCTCCTTGTAATTCTCAATGCTCTGGGAAGGGGAAGAACCAAAACCTTCTCTTCTGAGTTTTTTTGGGATGCTGAACCACCTTGTCCTCATGAGGGGAAGAAGGTGGTGCCCAAGGGCCCCGATCCAGGCTGCAGCAGAGCTGTATTTATGCTGGGAATGGGATTTTAGGGGTTTGATACTGGCTTGGAGCAGGATAAACATGCTGGAGAGTTGGGCAACAGGAAAATGGGAGTGAGTAGAGACATTTTAGTCCGGGTTTAAGCCTGGGTACAAGATAGGCTCAGCCCTCAGCATCCATCCAAGCCTGGGTCTGTAGGGCTGTTGTCCCAGGGCATGGATAGCACGGATGCATGGATGCAGTGTCAAAGGGCCAGAGGGGGGAGGAGGGTTTTCCAGCTGAGCTTCCTTAACGCTGGGATTGTGGTTGTTTTCCAGAATTTTCCCTTCTGCATCATGTCTGTGAACATCACCCGGATCGTGATCCAGGCGCTGCAGGAGGAGCGGCTCTCCCGGTGAGCAGGGCTGGGTTTGGGGTCTCAGGCTGCATCCCGGGCTGTTCCCCTGCCCAGGAGGTGGCTGTAATAATAACTAGAGGGCACTCCATTTCTTCATGCAGAAAAGCCATTTCTTTATTCACATAACTCATTTTACACAGTTTTCACATGTCTCATGTGTAACTCCTGTTGGCTGGTAGTTTTCTTGCTAATCAATTAGTTGGTTAAAAAGTGCCTGTGTGTGTAAGACTCTCTCCATCTACAAATGTTTACACTTAGTGGATTCTCATGGGGCAGATCAATTTTTATGGAAGTGCAGATTTCTATTTCTCTCCAAGAGTAGGTGCCTGTGTTAACAGACTCTTCATTCCCAACGCTGTTCTGCATGGGAACTTCCAACCTATCGCTAGCTTAGCTACACCAGCAGGGCCTAAACCCCATTTTTAAGGACTTTTCCAGTAGTTGGAGCTGTCAGAAATGTCTGTGCTCCCCCTGCAGGGAGTGCAACCGGCGGCAGCAGGTGATCGCGGTGCTCAACGACCTCTACGCCGCCGCCTTCCTGCGCCTCTCCCGCCTCTGGGAGCAGCAGCACGGCACCGTGGCCAACGCTGGCTTCTTCCTCAAGGGTTTGTCTGCACGGCTGCTCCTTCCCCTGCCCGCGGACACTCCCAGTTTAATCCCCACGCTGAGCTTTTTCCGGTTTTCCCTGTCCCGGGGTGGTTTTCCTCACATTTTCCACCCCAGGGGGATGCTCAAGGTGGATGACATGTGGGACAGTCCCTGCTGGGCGCCATGGCTTAGCCGCTGTCCACGAATTACTTACTCCAGAGAGGAATGCTGTCAGTGGGAGCAGTGTATCCCCCAGAAATCAGGGTCCAGCTTCACCCCATCTCCCCTGCACCCCAATTTTAGGGTGCTCAGGCTGGCACTGTGTTCCCTCCTCCCAAGGAAAGCACCAGCATGCCCTTTCCCAAGGGAAAATGACAGGACACCAGATGTTTTGGACCCTTGGCACCATCCAGGCCTGCTCCCCTCAGCCTTTTCCCCCTCTGCCCTTTCCAGAGCTGGAGTTATCCACCAAAAAGAAGCCGAGGCAGCTGCTGAAATCCCTGGAAGCCTACCTGAGCCGTGGCCTTCGGCCTCCCTCCCCTCCCTCCTCCCAGATCCACTTCAGCAGCATTTGTGACCCTGGCGTGGAGCTGGAGGGGGACGCCTGACTGCTCTGGCACGGAGTGGGACCCGCACAGGGAACTGTGCTGGTGGATCAGCCCTTGGAGGGACACACACGGGTGTCCCCCTGGTTTGGGGGCTCGGGAAGGGCCAGGAGAGGCCTCAGAGCCGGGATTTTGCCTGCTCCAGGTGGAATTTTCTGGAAGCAAAGGAGGAGGAGGTGGTGGAGCAGGGGATTCCGTGAGCCACCCAGCCTGCTGCTGGGATAGTCCCTGTCCCCACCCCAAATCCAGGGTCCCACCTGGGTGCTGACCCTGCCCAGGCGGAGCTGGAAGGTGGTGCTGGGTCCCTGGGTCCCATCCCAGCCCCAGCAGCGCCAGGAATGGGTGACCCCCACTTTGGGGGGCTGTGTCAGACCCCCAGGGTCACTGTGGGCTGTCAGCACCCAAAAAAGTTATTAAAGGGGGAGACGAGGGATCTGGTGGGAAAGAGAGTTTTGGGTTTGCCACTGGACTCTGTGTCTGGGGGAAGGAAAGGCGGGCTGGGGTGCCCAGAGTCACTTTGGGGCGGAAAAGGTGCTCTGGAGGAGGGAAACGAGGGTTGAGAGCTCCAAGGAGGAGGGGAAGGGTTATTCCCTCTGGGAGCTCAGGGCCAGTGCTTGGGAATATCCCCAGGCCCCTAAAATGGGGAACAGCAGCCCCTAAAGCCCAGATCTGGGGAGAAATGAGGGGTTTGGAGAAGTGGGAGCTGGGGCAGAGTGGAACGTTGTGGCCCCAGCCCCCCTGAGAGGGCGATGGTTCCCAGGGGCTGGGAATGCTCCTGGATGGAGAAAAAAATAAAATAAATGGAGAAAAAAAGAGCCTGGAGTTGGGGTTTGCTGTCTTGATCTTGAATTGTTGGGGAAATTGGGGGGGGAATCGTTTTCAGGTGTTTTGGGGGAACAAAGAGCAGTCTTGCACCTGTGGGAACACATTTGGGAGTGGTGTCTGAGATCTGGGATAAGGGGGGGGATAGAAAAGATGAGAGAAAAGGTAAAAGGGTGGTACAAAAGGAGAATAAAACCAAAGAGACAAGAAAAAAGGAGGGAAAAAAGAAATGGAAAGGACAAGGAAAAAACTAGGAAGATGAGGAAAAAAGAGACAAGAAGGGAAAGAGGCTCCGCCACCCTTTTCTTTGTTAGTTTGTTGTTTGTTTGCCTTTTTCATCTTTCCCCCCCCTCCTTTCTCTTTTTTTTTTTCCCCTTTTCCCGGGGTGGTCCCGGAGGTGCGAGGCCCCCGCCCCTCCGCAGCTCAACCGGGGCCGCTTTGGCCTCTCCAGGCCGCTGCACCCCGTGGGCTCGGAGCCGTGGGACGGACAGAGCTGGGGACGGGGCTGGTGGCCCCGGGGTGGTGGGGACCGGGACCGGGGTGGTGGGACCGGCCCTGGGGGCACCGGGACCGGGACGGGCCGGGAGCGGCGGCGGGGCAGGCGCGGTGTCCGCAGCGGTGCTGGGGAGCCCGGGGTGACGGGGACCCAGGGGTGACGGGGACCCAGGGGTGACGAGGACCCAGGGGTGACGGGGCGCCCCCCGGGGCCACCGGGGCTGGGCTGACCCGGGCCGGTTCCGCCGGGGCCGGGCCCGGTTCCGGCCGGGCCGCCCGGGGGCGGAGCGGAGCCGGGCCGGAGCGCGGGGCCTGCGGTGAGCGGGGCCGGGGCCGTGACCCAAAGGCCGCGGGGGCGGTGGGGCCGAGACCCCCGGGCTGGGCAGAGACCCCAGGGCTGGGCAGAGACCGCGGGCTGGGCCGAGCGGGGCCGGGGCCGGGGCCGGGGGACCCCGAGGGGCTGCGGGGCTGTGCGGGGGAGCTGCCCCCACACCTGGGCCTGGCGTGGGCAGGGGCAAATCCTGAAATCCTGCTGGGAATGTGGGGTGAGTAACGCCTCAAACACCCCCAGTTCCATAGGAATTTGTTTGTGTCTGCAGGGCTTTTCCCAGGACCCTCGATCAGAGCCAGGACCTCGAGCAGCCATGACACCCCCCAGGGTATGTGACACCGCACTCTGTGCCACCATCCTGCCCCTCAGGAATCCCCTCCAGATCATACCAGGGTCTCCTCATTTTCCCCTTCATTTTTTAGGAAATAGGATTTGTTAGCCCCACTCCTCAGAAAGGGAAGGGGGATCCCAATTTGGGGGCCAAGGAATTGGAACCCCAGTGTTGCAGGGCACCCCCTGACCCTGGAGGTGGGAATGGAAAGGGCTGGTGAGGGGTCTGGGGTCTCCCCAGATCCCACTGAGCCCCCTCAGGCCCACATTTCCCAGCTGATCCCACTGGATCCGGGTTAATCCCACCGGATCTGTGTCTGTGAGGGAGGGAAAACCCAGTGCCAGGGCGCTGATCCCCCAGAACCAGGTTAATTCCCCTGCATCCAGGTTGATCCAGGTCCCCACCAAAAGTGCCACCAGCTTGTCCCAGCTAAAATTCCCTTATTATTTCCATTACTCATCAAACCCCCCTCATCACAAGCGTATTTTGGGGTGTATCCCCCCACATTTGGCGTTCCCAGGCGCCCTTTCCCATTTTCCTTCCCCTGCTCAGACCCAGCCGTGGCTCGTCCCCTCGTGCCCCGAGCTGGACATGTGCATCCCCTTCCTGGGCAAGTACCACCGGCCGGTTTCGGGGCGCTCCTGCCAGACCTGCACGCCCAGGAGCTGGGTAGGAGAGCCAGTCTGGGGTCCCGGGGCGCCGGGGGTCTGCTCCTGCGCGGGCTGATCCCGTTTTCCCTGCCAGGATGGATTCTACCCCGAGGAGCTGGCCCCGCTGGGGCTCCGCGACGCCAGCCGCCCGACGGAGGCGGACACGCGGTGAGCGGCGAGGGGCTCTGTGTCCTGCACAAACACTGTTCCCCCCATGTTTCACCAAAATGCCTGTGGGAACCCCTCTCCACCCTCCACTGTTCCTCGTTATCACAAACTGAGCTCCTTAATTGGTTTTGGGAGGCTGGAAGTGATGGCTCCGAGGGTTTGGGCTGTGCTGCAGTTGTCGGATTGGGGATTTGGGGTCGTGCTTTTATTTGGAGTCGTGGTGGGAAGGATGGGGGGGTGGAGGGTTGTTCTTCTCTCTGGTTCGCAGGGAAAAGGGAAAACAGGCACTTCCCCCTAGAAGGAAAAATACCAGGAAAGGCAAAATTGTGGTTATCCCCCCTTTGCCTCTGGGCAGGAGCAATTTCCAGGTATTTTCATTTTTGAGGTGCCAGATTGCTTTAAATCCACTCCCCTTTAGGGAGTAATCCCTGGATTATCCATTTTTTGCTTTTCTCCTTCCCAAGTCGGGTCGTTATCCTCCATTCAGTTCCAAATGTTCCCAGCTTCAGCTTTGGAATCCATTGGGATCACAGGGAATGCAGTTCCCCTGTCCCACTCCAGCCCTTCCTGCATGCTCTGGGATGTCCCCAAGCTCCCTCCCACCCTGCCCTCAGCGCAGATTTGGGGATAGATTGGGAAATTTCTGCAGTTTGGGAATCTTAGCTTTGAATCCCAGTTTTCCTTCCTGCTGGGCAGCCTGAAGCACCAATTCCCCGGTGCCTCAACATTTCCAGCTGTGAAATGGGAGAAATGTCCTGAATCTGTCAGAGAGGCAGCCGGGGTGGCTCTGATCCCCAGCATGTCACCGTGTGTCCCCTCCAGGTTCCGGGGCTGGCTGGTCAGGAGGGTCTGTGGCTTCCTGGCAGCCTGGGAGTGGGAAATCCCAGCAGAGAGCCCCGGGGAGCTCCTGCAGCGGATCTGCAGCAGCAGGAGGTGGGTGGGGGCAGCTGGAGGGTCCCTTTGGAGCCCAGCGGGGCTCCCTGCACCCCAACACGGGGTGCTGGGGGCTCGCCCTGCCCTGCTCTGCCCAGGGTGCAGGATGCTGCCTCCAGCCCGGAGCCTGGCCCCCGAGGGGATGAGGGGTCCCAGCAGAGCTGCAAGGAGGAGATCTGCCAGATCCTGGGGGAAGTCCAGGCCCCACTGTCCCCCCTGCTGCTGAGGTCAGGGGCCTGAGGGGAAATTCTCTGGGGGATGGAGGCAGATCCCTCTGGGGGGATGCACAAGGATCCATTGGGTGGGTTCCTGGGATTGGTTTTGGGGTGTTCTGGGATTTTGAGGGGATGCACATGGATTCATTGAGTGGTTTCCTGCGATCCTTCTGGGGGATGTGCTGGCATATTTCAGGAGATATTTTGGGGTCCTTTGGCTGGCTGCCCTCAGGGTCCTCTCTAGCTCCTGGGGCCGTTCCCCCAGTTCCTTCTGAGGAGCTGGAGTGGGAAAATCCAAACCCCTCAGGAGGGAGGGAAGCAGAGAAAACTTTCCTTTTCCCTTTCCCATCCCATCCCTGACTGCAGGAAATCCGGGGCTTCATTCCTTGTCTGACCAGTGGGAGTAAAGAGTACTTTTGAGGCATTAAAGGGCAGGTATTCCCCATGGAATGAGAGCATTTGGGGATCCCAAAGTGGGGCAGGAAGATGGAGGGAGTGCAGGATTCCCAGTGGCAGCTCTGGTTGCCAGTGGAAAGGAGGATGTTTCCACACACACAGCCTTTCACGTGTGATAAACTGGGAGTTTTGAGCAGGGATTTTGGGGGTTTGGGGCTGCCCTGTCCCTGGCAGGGTTCCTCACTGCCATTTTTCCCGCAGGCTGTGCCACTGGCTGCTCCCCAAGCTCCTGACGCGAGTGTTCCTGAGCGTGCAGCTGCACCGGGCGCAGCTGGAGATGGTGCTGCGAGCTGCCAGGACGGTAGGGAGCCCGGGCTGGGCCCTCCCCAGCCCTGGAACACCGGGCATTCACCCCAGGATGCCCCTGGAATGCCGGGCATTCACCCCGGGATGCCCCTGAAACGCCGGGCATTCACCCCGGGACCCCTCCCTGCAGCCCGAGGTGCCGCTGGTGTTCCTGTGCAGCCACCAGTCCCCGCTGGACGGGCCCCTGCTGTCCTTCCTGCTGCTGTCCCAGGGCGTGGGGCTGCCCAGGGTGGCCGTGAGCACCAGGACCAGCCCTCGCCTGAGGTGAGGCGGCACCGGGGGCGCTCCCAGAGCATCCCGGGCCGCGCAGGGGTGCCCACGGCGTCCTTCCCTCGCCAGGTCCCTGCTCCAGCGCCTGGGAGGGATTTTCCTGCCTTCAGGCTTGGCCCCGCCGTGGGGCGAGCGGGACGAGGGGCTCCCCGGGGCCGTGCTGGACGCGGTAGGTGCTGTGAACGCCCCCGGAGCGCTCGGGGAGGCGCTGGCAGCCCCCGGCAGCCCCGGTGTCTCCCCAGTACGTGCAGGAGGTGCTGCGGAGCCGCCGGCCCCTGGTGCTGTTCCTGGAGGAGCCGTCGGCGTTCGCGCGGCTGGCGGAACCTGCCCGGCGCTGGCTGCCGCGCCTGCTGCGGGCGCTGCGCGACGGCGCCGTGCCCGACGCGCTGCTGGTGCCCGTGGGCATCGCCTACGACCTGGCTCCGGGCGGGCTGCAGCGGCGGGCAGCGGTGAGAGCAGGGCTCGGGGGGGCAGCGGCGCTCCCCACATCCCTGGCACTGCCCGGGGAGCAGCGTTCCCAAACCCCTGGGACACGCTGCTCCCTCCATCCCTGGGGAGATCCCTGGGGAGAGGCATGGCCCGGATCTCCGGGGCATCCCTGGGGCTGGCATCCCCCCAATGTGCCACTGACCCCTGGGTGCCCTGTCCTGGCAGCCCCCGGAGCCCCTGGGGCTGGGCTCGTGTCTGCGGGCAGCGTTCCAGGCCCTGTGCTGCCGGCACCATGGCTTTGCCCGCGTGGATTTCTCTCAGCCCTTCTCCCTGCGGGTACGGCATCGCAGGGATGCATCCCCTGCACCCATCCCCTGCACCCATCCCCTGCATGCATCCCCTGCGCCCATCCCCTGCATCATCCCCTGCATGCATCCCCTGCGCCCATCCCCTGCATCATCCCCTGCACGCATCCCCTGCACCCATCCCCTGCACGCATCCCCTGCGCCCATCCCCTGCACGCATCCCCTGCACCCATCCCCTGCGCCCATCCCCTGCATCATCCCCTGCGCCCATCCCCTGCACCCATCCCCTGCATCATCCCCTGCGCCCATCCCCTGCACCCATCCCCTGCACGCATCCCCTGCACGCATCCCCTGCATCATCCCCTGCGCCCATCCCCTGCGCCCATCCCCTGCGCCCATCCCCTGCACGCATCCCCTGCATGCATCCCCTGCGCCCATCCCCTGCATCATCCCCTGCGCCCATCCCCTGCACCCATCCCCTGCATGCATCCCCTGCATGCATCCCCTGCGCCCATCCCCTGCACGCATCCCCTGCATCATCCCCTGCGCCCATCCCCTGCACCCATCCCCTGCATCCATCCCCTGCATCATCCCCTGCACCCATCCCCTGCATCATCCCCTGCGCCCATCCCCTGCGCCCATCCCCTGCACCCATCCCCTGCGCCCATCCCCTGCATCATCCCCTGCACCCATCCCCTGCATGCATCCCCTGCATCATCCCCTGCACCCATCCCCTGCATGCATCCCCTGCATCATCCCCTGCGCCCATCCCCTGCACCCATCCCCTGCATCCATCCCCTGCATCATCCCCTGCGCCCATCCCCTGCATCCATCCCCCCCTGGGAGACCCTTCCTGGGGTGTTGGTGGGCTTTGGGCTGTCTGGGGGAACCAGGAATCCATGCTGGGGGTGTCTGTGCTGCTCCCAGCCCTGGGGATGCAGGGTGAGCTCCTGCTGCTGAGGGCTGGGAGCGCCCACAGGCTCCTCCGTGCTCATCCCCAGGAGTTTGTGGACAACAACCTGGTGGGGCCCATGCTCAGAGGGAGTCCCCCGGAGCAGCTGCTGCTTCCCACCATCCTGGGCAGGGGGTGAGGAGCTGAGCCCTTGGGGGCAGCGTTCCCCTTGCCCCTGGATCTCTGCCCCCGGCTCTCTCCTCACCCTCTCATCCCGACTGCCCAGCCCGCTGGATGTGGGGAGCGTGGGGAATTCGGGCCCCGCTTCGGGGACAGAAGAGGAGATTTTGGTGACAGCGCTGGGGCTGCACGCGCTGAGCGGTGAGGAGGGGGCTGGGGGGTCCCTGCATCCCTTGGGATGGCATTCCCTGCTCGGGAATGGGGGGCAGGTTAATAAATCCCCCCTGGATGACGAGGGCCTCTCTCCCACTGCAGATTCCAGAGCCTGCTCTGCTGTCACGGCCGTGGGAATCACCGCGGCGCTGCTGCTGCACCGCTACCAGGAGGTGGGAGAGGGGTTCCATGGGATCCCCCATTCCCTGAGAGCAGCCAGCATTCCCAGTGAGGATCCCCTCTCCCCCGTGCCCAGGTGGTGCTGCTGCCCCAGCTCATGTGGGATTTCTCCAAGCTGCTGGAGCAACTGCTGCTGCGGGGCCGGGCCGTGAGCTGCTCGGGGCGGCTGCGGGTGCTGCTGCTGCACAGCCTGCGCCTGCTGCCGCCCCTGCAGCCCCTGCAGCCCCCCCTGCGCCTGCTGCAGCCCCCCCGCGCCTCGGCCCGGGCACGGCTGGCACAGCTGGCGGGGGGCGTCCGGCACCAGCTGGCCGGGGAGGCCGTGGGCGGTGAGCGGGGACACCGGAGTGGGGACAGGGGACAGCGGGGAGCAGGGATGGTGTGGGAATGGGGGACACCGGAGTGGGGTCAGGGGACAGCGGGGGGCAGGGATGGTGTGGGAATGGGGGACACCGGAGTGGGGACAGGGGACAGCAGGGGGCAGGGATGGTGTGGGAATGGGGGACACCGGAGTGGGGACAGGGGACAGCAGTGACACCGGGAAGGGGTGGTGGCTGCAGTCTGAGGAGCACCAGGGGTGTTGTTTATGTCGTGGGGCTCAGTGACATTGGGATTTGGGACAGCAGGGTTGGTGATGCCAGGGAGGTTGGTGACACTGGGGATTCAGTGCCACCAGGGTAAGGGGCACTGGGGAAATGGGGCATGCAGGGCATTATTGACACTGGGGATGGGGGCACTGGGGATGCCAGGGCTCAGGGGCACTGGGGTGCTCGGTGACTCCGGGACCGGTGCCAGCCCTGTGCCCTCAGCCTGTGCCATCCGTGCCCTGGTGCTGGAGATGCTGCCCGTCCTGGGGCCGCCCTCCAGCCTCACCAAGATCGTGCTGAGCCGGGACGAGCTGCTCCACAAGATCCTGGAGCTGCTGCAGCTGCTGCCCCCCACCCTGCTGGGGCTCCAGGTGGGGACACGGGGCTGGGCTGTCCCCCCAGTCCTGCTGGGGACACACGGGTGGCCTGTCACCCCTGTGCTGTGTCCCCAGCCCTGCCGGCCTCCTGACTGCCACAGCCTGGACGTCCTGGACAAGCTCATCCTCGGGGGGCTGCTGGAGGAGGAGGTGGTGGGTGACCCCCGGGGGCTGTCAGGGGGCACAGGGGCAGGGTGGCTGCCGGGGGGGTGACACCGCTGTCCCTCCATGGGGCACAGGGGCAGGGTGGCTGCCGGGGGGGTGACACCACTGTCCCTCCATGGGGCACAGGGGCAGGGTGGCTGCCAGGGGAAGTGACGTTGCTGTCCCCCCGTGGGGCACAGGGGCAGGGGGATGGCACCGCTGTCCCTCCATGGGGCACAGGGGCAGGGTGGCTGCCAGGGGAGGTGACATTGCTGTCCCTCCATGGGGCACAGGGGCAGGGGGATGGCAGGGGGATGGCACTGCTGTCCCCCCGTGGGGCACAAGGGCAGGGGGATGGCATTGCTGTCCCCCCGTGGGGCACGGGGGTGGCACCGCTGTCCCCGCAGGCCGAGGAGGAGCGCTGGGGCTGCGATGTGGCCCCGCGGCGCCTCGGGCGGGGACAGTCCCTGGGCTTCTTCACGGATGACAGCAACAGCGACAGCGAGCTGGAGCTCGGCGTGCCCAAGCAGTGCTACAAGGTACTGGGGTGTCCCGCTATTGGGGGGCTACGGGAGGGCGGTGTCCCCCAAACGTGGCCCTGCCACCCCACAGCTCCGCGGGCCCCATGGCTTCCCCGGCTTCCTGCTCTTCCTGTGCCGCCTGCTGAGCCCCGTGCTGCAGACCTACGGCCGCGCCGTGCAGTTCCTGCAGAGACCCCCCTGGCCGCAGCCCGGTAGGACCCCCCGGCCTGGGGAACCCCCCGGGACGCCCTGGGGACACTGAGGCACGGGATCTGACCCCCCCTCCCCACTGCAGAGCAGGACTACGTGGAGGCGCTGCTGGAATTCCTGGCCGAGGACGAGGATGGTGAGTCAAGGCGAGGGTCTGGCTTTAGTGCCCCCCAAACCAGGCTGAGGGTCCTTCAGAGGTGGCATTGGGGGTTCCCTGGGATCTCTCTCCCCACAGGGTATCCCGACAGGAGCCTGGCCCTGAGCTCCCTGCAGAGTTTCAAGGACATGGGGGTAAGCACAGCTCCCCCAGCCCCCAGCATTGCTGCTGCCTCCCTCCCTCCCCTCCTGACCTCCCTGTGCCCCCCAGGTGCTGGAGGAGCTGCAGACCCCCGCGGGACCCGCCCTGCAGCTCTCCCAGCCTTTCCAGTCTGCCTCCAGCCGGGAGAAGCTGGCAGCCTTCATCCAGCAGTTCACGCAGCTGTAGCCCCCAGAGCCCCCAGACCCATAAACGCAGAGAGCAGAGGCTTTTGTGGATTTATTGACCCACGGGGGGGAGGTGGGTCCGGGGCTCCTCTCCGCCGTCACACCACCCTGTTGCAGATGGTGCCCAGCTCCTCAATCTCACACTGCACCTCGTCACCAGGCTGCAAGGGGGGACACGGTGGCACCTGTCCCCACTGGGGTCCCCGAGTCCCCCCCGAGCCCCCATTTCCCCTCACCTTGAGGAAAACGGGCGGTTTGCGAAAGACCCCCACTCCCGCAGGGGTCCCCGTCAGCAGGACGTCCCCAGGGACGAGTGTCACAAACCTGGGGGCACGGGGGGGGTCAGCTGTGGCTCCCGGGGCTCTGGGGGTCCCCAGGCCCCCGTTCCTACCGGGACACCCAGGCCACGAGCGCGGGCACCCCGAAGATGAGGTGCCGGGTGCTGCTGTCCTGCATGCGCTGCCCGTTGACGCTGCAGTGGATCCAGAGGTTGTGCACATCTGCGGGGGACACGGGGGACACGGGGACGGTGCCACCGTGCCCCCACCGCGGGGGCAAACACGGGGAGCGCGGTCCCGCGTCCCTGCCGCACCTGGCACCGCCTCCCTGGTGACAATGGCCGGCCCCAGGGGACAGAAGGTGTCGAAGGTCTTGCCCAGCAGCCACTGCCGCCCGTTGCGCCGCATCTGCCAGTCCCGGGCGCTCACGTCGTTGGCCACGGTGTAACCCAGCACGTGCTCCAGGGCCGCCGACTCCTGGGGACAGCGGGGACACTCAGGGGGGACACTGCCAGGGAGGGGACAGTCACGGGGGACACGGCCGGGGGGTCCCGAGGCACGGAGGGGCCGGGGGTACCTCGATGTGCCGCCCCCTCTTCCCGATGACCGCGGCCAGCTCCACCTCCCAGTCCAGCTCCTGCGGGGACAGAGGGGCTGGGAGCGCCATCCCGGGGGGCCGTCCCCGTTGGGGGGCACCGGGGGCACACCGGGTACCCACGCTGGTGTCCTGGGGGTGCACGATGTCATCGAAGGGCCCGGCGATGGCGCTGGGGAACTTGCTGAAGATGAGGGGCTCCCGGGGCACCTTGGCCGCCTGCTCGCGGCAGTGGTCGTGGTAGTTGAGCCCCACGCAGATCACCTTCTGGGGGTCCCCCACGGGCGCCAGCAGCCGCGCAGCCCCCCGGGACACGCGGTGCTGCCCCGACTGCAGCGCCCTGCGGGGACACGGGGGGCGTTTGGGGCACCCCCGATGGGGGGACGCGCTTTGGGGGGCTCCAGGAGGGCCTGCTGTGGTTTAGGGACTCCTTTTGGCCCCCACGTTGGGGTCAGGCTCTCTTGGGGGTCACACATCATGGGGAGGGGATCACTCACGGTTTGGAGTGCCCCCCACCTTTTTGGGGGGTCAGCTGTTGGGGTGACCCACTTTGGGGTCATCCAAAGCACCACGCAGATTTGGGTGGCCACTCCTGGGGGGATCCATGAGGATTCACCCCCGTTTTGGGGCTCCCTCTCCTTTTGGGGGCTCCTCCATCGCTGGAAGTCAGCCACCTTTGGGGGTCCCCCATCTTTGGGGATCGCCCACCTTCTTTGGGGTCACTTTTGGGGGTCCCCCACCTTCTCTGGGGGTGCCCGTTGGCCTCACGCACCTCTGGGCGAGCTCCAGCCCGCGGGGGCCGATCTCCAGGAACTCCCGCATGGACCGGGGCAGGTCGGGCTCGGCCGCGCTCAGATCCACCAGGTCCCCCCCGGGCGCCTCCTCCAGCCCGAGCCGGGGCCCCCCGCCCGCGGCGCCCCGGAACCGCACCAGGCGCAGCGCCCCGCGCATCGCCTGCGGCACCGGCCCGGTGAATCCCGGCCCCGGGATGGATCCCCGGAACCCCCGCAGCCCCGGGGACGCGCTCCCGGTCCCCCCAGCCCCGATTCCCTCCGTCCCAGGGATCCCCCTGGTTCTGCCCAAACCCGGACCCCGGAGATTCCCCCCGTTTCTCACACACTCAGTCCGATCCCCCAGCCCCGAGTCCCACAGAGCCCCGATCCCGGGGATCCCCACGTTTATCCCACAGAGCCCGGATCCCGGGGATCCTCCCCCCGTTCCCGGGCATTCCCCCGTTTCCAGATCCCCCCGTTCCCATGGATCCCCCCAGCTCCAGACCCCCGCGTTCCCGGGCATTCCCCCCGATCCCGGACATTTCCCCGTTTTTAGGGATTCTCCCCCGCCCTCCATTCCCGGGGGTCTCACACACCGCTCCTCCCCCGCTCCGCCAGGGGGCGCTGCGGGCCCCGCCCCGTCACGTGGCACGTCAAGGTCGCCGCACCGGGGCCCCGCCCCCTTCGGGCCGCCCAATGGGAGCGCACAGGGGGCGGGACCAGGGTTTCCATGAGAGCCAATGAGAGGAGAGATCTGAGGGGCGGGGCCGCGGGACCGGGAACGAGAACGGGACCGGGACCGGGAATTGGAGAGGGACCGGGACCGGGACCAGGAATGGGAATGGGAGACGTACGGGGAACGGGACAGGGACTGGGAATGGGAGACGGGACCGGCCACGGGCAGGGCCCGAGAGCAGGACAGGGACCCCCGGGACCCCGCGCGTCCCTCCCGTCGCCCTTGACTCCATTTCAGCGCTAAGTCGTCACCGTTTGGTTTATTTATAAAATCCCCCTCCCCACGCTGCTGGAGCAGGGGCTGTGCTTTGGGTCGGGGTCTGGGGGCTCCATCTCACGGCTGCCCTGTGGACACCCCCACAGCCGGGCTCCCATCTCGAGGGTCCCCAAGTCCCTGGGGTGGGTTTGGGCTGTCCCTGCACCGCCAAGGGGGGGGGTCCGTGTCTAGGGGGGCTCAGCCCCCCAAAATGGGTCAGTCTGGGGTGGCAGCACCGTCCTTGTCCTTGTCCTTGTCCTTGTCCTTGTCCTTGTCCTGTCCCGTCTCTGGGAGCCACATGCTGGACTTCTCCTGCCTCTGGTTCGTCTGAAACAGCAGAAAAGCTCCGCGGGAGCAGGGTCTAGAGCACGCTGTGGAAGATCTGCATGGAGCTCATGATGTCCTTGTCCTGGCGAGGAGAGAGCAGAGACCCCGTGTGCCCCTTCTCTCGTCACCCTTTTGCCATCTCCCTCCTGTCCCGGATGAGGAGGATGAGGATGGTGCCCCCGGAGCCCCCCTCACCTCCTGGCAGGCGGCCAGGAACTCCTCGAAGGTCACCACGCCGTCCCCGTTCCTGTCCATCTTCTGCAAGGGAGGGCCGGGGCTCAGCGGGGCTCAGCGGCCCCGGGGACACCTTGGGGACACCTTGGGGACACCTTGGGGACATTCTCACCTGGAAGAAGAGCTCCACGTGCTGTGCGGGCGCGCTGTGCCCCGCGGCGGGCTGGCCCATCATGGCATAGATGGACTTCATGATCTCCAGCATGTCCTGGGGGGGACACAGGGCGCTGGCAGCCCCCGCCCGCCCGTCCCCGCCCCGCCACCCCCGCTGTCCCCCAGTGTCACCTCCTTGCTGATGCAGCCGTCCTTGTTCACGTCGTAGAGGTCGAACGTCCACCTGAGCTTCTGCTGCTCCGTGCCCCGCAGCAGCACCGAGAGCCCCACGGCGAAATCCTGCCCGCATGGGGGGCGGCGGGAGGGACCCTCACCCACCCTGGCCCGCCCTGACCCGCCCTGACCCCGGCCCGCCGCCGCCCCATCGATCCCGGCCGCCCCGGGGATTGCAGCCCTATTGATCCCGTTATTTTTACCCGGCCACAGCCGGGAGGAGGAGGAGGAGGAGGAAGGAGGAGGATGTGATGAATCACGGCGCTGGCGCGGCCGTTCCCCCCGGAATTCCCACCTGGAAGCACAGAGCCCCGTTGCGGTCCGCGTCGAAGGCGTCGAACAAGAAGTGCGCGTAGGAGCTGGCGTCTGCGGGAACGGGACCGTGACCCCCGGTACCGCCCCGGTACCGCTCCCGGTACCGCCCCGGCCCCCGGGACCCCCACTCACCGCCGCGCGGGAAGAAGCGCGAGTAGATGAGCGTGAAGGTCTCCTCGTCCACGAGCCCGCTCGGACACTCCTGCCGGGCAGCGGCGCCGTGACCCCGGGGCCCCGCGGGCTTGGGGGGGCTCGGGGCTCGGGACCCCCGACTCACGTTCTTGAAGCCTCGGTAGAGGGACTGCAGCTCGCTCTTGGTGAACTTGGTGCGGGCCAGGAGCTGCTCCAGCCCCTCGGGCGGGTGCCGCGCCGTCGGCAGCTCCACGTCGGGATCGCCGCTGTCTGCGGGGAGACCCGGGGCGGAGACCCCCTTAGGGACCCCCCAAACCTGGGCAGAGACCCCCTTAGGGACCCCCCTGCACCCCAAACCCGGGGCAAAAACCCCCTTAGGGACGCCCTTAGAGACCCCAAAACCACCCCTGGCAAAGACTCCCTTAGGGACCCCCTTAGGGACCCCATATGGGACCCCCTTTCCCCCCGGACTCTCCCCCGCAGCCCCGGAGCTCCCCGGGGCCCCGCGGGTGTCGGTCCCGGGGCTTTCCCCGCGCTCCCGGGGCTCCGAACGTTCCCGAGCCGCCTCTTGGCCGCCCGGCCCGGCGCGAGGTAATTAATAAATGATGCTTCATTAATAATTCCCGCTCGGGAAGCCCCTGCGGGGCCCTTCAGCAATTTTGGGATGGGCTTGGGAGCCCCAAACGTTCCCAGGGCTGTCGGGGGGGGGGGGGTGTGAGGGGTCTCGGGGGACCTGGGGGGGCTTTGGGGGTCCCTGTGTCCAATCTCAGGGGGGTTGGGGGTCCCTGTGTCCAATCTCAGGGGGGTTTGGGGGTCCCTGTGTCCAATCTCAGGGGCATTGGGGGTCCCTGTGTCCAATCTCAGGGGCTTTGGGGGTCCCTGTGTCCCATCTCAGGGGGGTTTGGGGGTCCCTGTGTCCAATCTCAGGGGCATTGGGGGTCCCTGTGTCCCATCTCAGGGGGTTTGGGGTCCCTGTGTCCAATCTCAGGGGGTTTGGGGTCACTGTGGGGTCGTTACCCCCACCTCGGGGGGCTCGTTGGGGTCAGCGCCAGCTCGGAGCCCTCCCGGCCCTCCTTGGGAAGGTTTGGGGGTCACCGGGGGTCCCCATTGCCCATTCCTGGGGGTTAAAGGGGCGAGGGAGAGCTCTGGGGTGGGGGTCCCATTTCCCCCCGGGTATTTGGGGTGGGGGTCCCCATTCCCGGGTGTTTGGGGATGCTCTGGGGATCCCCCCAGGCCAGGGCACTTCAGGGGGTTTGGGGGCTCTGCCCGCTCCCCCCCAGCCCCAAATCCTCATCGTTCCCCCCAGACCCTCCCGAGGGGACCCCAGCCCCAAACCCGGCCCTGCTCCGGGAGGTCACGGGGCAGTGGGGCCGAGCCGTCATTAATTCATTAATCAGCGCTAATTGGGGCTCGGGGAGCGGGGGGTACCTTCGGCAGAGATGGGCTCCAGGATGCCGAACTGCTTGAGCACGGCGATGAAGAGGAGGATGACCACGGCCACGGCGCACAGCTCCATGCCCTGGATGCCCATGGCCCCGGGGGCTCGGGGGGCTCCGGGGGTCCCCCAACCCTGCGGGGCTCCTGCGGCAGCGCGGGGCGGGTGCTGCCCGTGCCCGTCCTGCCCTCCTCCCCTCCCCTCTTCCTCCTCCTCCTCCTCCTCCTCCCCTGGCACCCTGCCCCCCGCCCCGCGGTTTCGGCGCTTTCCCACACAAGTTTGGGGTTTTTGTGGGGGGGGGTCCAGGGCCGCTACCCCCGCTCCCCGCAGCGCCCCTGGGGGTCGGGGGCACCGCCGGGAGGGTCCCGCGGGAGCGGCCTCGAAATGGGGGGGGAAAGGTGCTGAGTGCCCCCCCGGGCCGGGGGATCGATGGGATCGATGGGCATGAGTAAGCAGCGAGGGCAGGGAAACTGAGGCACGGAGGGCGGGCGGCGGGGCTGTCCCCTCCCCGTGCTGGGTGTCTCGCAGCCCTGGGGGCATCGGGCCCGTCTCCTCGGGGTGTCCCTGTGTCCCCTCGGGGTGTCCCTGTGCCCCCGGGCCCGTTCCTGTGTCCCCGGGGGTGGCCCTGTGCCCCTCGGGGTGTCCCTGTCCCCAGGACTGTCCCAGTGTCCCTGTCCCCACAGTGTCCCTGTCCCCTTACACTGTCCCTGTCCCCTTACACTGTCCCTGTCCCCACAGTGTCCCTGTCCCCAGGACTGTCCCAGTGTCCCTGTCCCCTCACACTGTCCCTGTCCCCAGTGTCCCTGTCCCCTCTCCCATCCCAAATCTCAGCCCCGCCCCCCGGGACCCCCGGACCCGCTCTGGGGGCGGGGCCACACAGGGGCGGGCCCATATCAGGGCGTGGCCACCGCAGGGGCCCGGCACACGGGGCGTGGCCACCATAGGGGCGGAGTCATCCACATGGGCGTGGTACACGGGCGGGGTCTCCCGCAAGGGGCGGGGCTCTGTGTTTGTGGGCGTGGCTCCGGTGCTGCCGCTCCGCTACCTCTGGCGTTCCCGCCGTCCCGCCGAACGTCACTTCCGCCTCCGCCCGCGCCGGAAGCGCCGCCAGTCCCGCCGCCATGGCCTCAAGGTTACTGCGGGTGAGCGCGGCCCTGCGGCTCCTGCCCGCGGCCTCGGCCCGCGCCGCGCCCGCGCGCCAGCTCGGCGTGCCCGGTGAGCGGGGACGGGGGAGCGGGGGGCACGGCGGGGGGCACGGCGGGGAGGAGCGGGGCGGGGTGCGGGATGGGGTGCGTGTGCGCAACCCCGGTGTGACGGAGCCCCGCAGGGAACCTGGCCAGCGATGAGGAGCAGGCGACCGGCTTGGAGCGGAAGGTGATGGAGGCCACGAACAAGGGGCTGGTGAGTGCCGGGGAGCGCGGTGGGGCTGCGGCCGCGGTCAGCCGGAGGGCCCGAGCGATGCCGGAGGTCTCCGGGGCGGTTTCGGGGTTCGGCTGCCCTTGGAGGGGCAGAGATTGGCGGGTGGGTGTCAGGGGGAGCCTCGCGGTGTTCTGCGGGGGTTCGGGGGTGCCGGCGGGCTCGGGTTATTTCAGGGTTTCGGTGCCCTTGGCGGGCGTGGGGTCAGAGGGGTCGGGGCTGAGGAGATCTGGGGGTCCCGGGGGTTTAGGGGGTGCTCGGGTGGTGGGGGGCTCATCTGGGGGGTGGTATTCCAGTTGTGGTGCCCTTGGAGGGCTGCAGGGTCTGGGGCTGGGGAGTTCTGGGGGCTCAGAGGTGGGGAACTCTCGGGCACAGGGGGTCTCGGGATGGAGCTGGGGATGCCAGGTTTGGGGTTCGCGGGGCCAGGCTGCCCTTGGGGGGTTCTGGGGTGGTTCTGGGGGTCTCACAGCCCCGGGTGCCCTCCAGGACCCGTACAGCATGTTCCGACCCAAGCGCTACACGGGCACCAAGCAGGATCCCAACCTCGTGCCCTCCGTGTCCAGCAAGCGCATCGTGGGCTGCGTCTGTGAGTGCTCCCGGCCCTGTCCGTGTGTCCGTCCATCCCTGTGGCCGTGCATCTGACAGTCCCCGTGTCCATCTGTCATGTGCTCATGTCAGCGTGTCCGTCTGTCTCCCCGTGTCCGTGTGTTTGTCCTTTACCTGTCCATGTGATCGTCCGTCCCTGTATCTGTCTGTCTGTCCCTTTCCTTCTGGGTGTCCGTCCTCCCACCCATGCCTGTCCACGGTGTCTGTGTGTCCATTCCTGTCCCGTGTCCATTTGTCCGTCCCCTTCTGTCCTTGTGCTCTGTCCCACGCTGTCCCTGTCCCTCTCCCCCTGTCCCCGTCCCCCTGTCCCTGTCCGTGTGTCCCACGCTGTCCCTGTCCGTGTGTCCCACGCTGTCCCTGTCCCCCCAGGTGAGGAGGACAACAGCTACGTGGTTTGGTTCTGGCTGCACAAGGGCGAGCCCCAGCGCTGCCCCTCCTGCGGTGCCCACTACAAACTGATCCCCCACGAGCTGCCCCACTGAGGGGCCCCCAAATCCCCCCACACTGCTGCCCCCCTGAGGGCTGGGGGACCCCCAAATCCCCCCAAACTGAGCTGCCCCGCCGAGGGGCTGGGGCCCCCCTCCCTCCCCTCCCTGGGGCTCTGTTGGACCCCCCCAAGTCCCCCCATAAAGAGTTTGTGTGGAGAGCCTGGCTGTGTCTGTGCTGGGGGCATCACTGTGGGTGGGGAGGGGACAGGGGGGTCTGAGTGGGACACCGTGCCCTAGGGGCAGAATTTGGGGTGGGGGGACCCCATCTTATTGTCCCCTTGCCCTGGGGCCGGGTGGGGTGGGACACTGAGTGGCTCCTGTGGTGGCTTTGTCCCCTTTGTCCCCTGAGCACTGAGGGGGCTGGGGGGGTCCCAGAGCCTCCTGGGGGCCCCACAGTCTCCTGGACAGGTCACAGCCCCCTCCCACACACACCGAGGGCCGTGTGTCCCCTCGGGCGTGCGCTGGTCTGTCCCGTGGGTGTCACCCGGGAGGGTCCCAGGGTGCCCGTCCGGCCGGGCGCCGGTGGCTGCGTCTCCTGGGGAGGAGCACAGCACCTCAGGAGGTCCCTGAAGGCTCCCAGGTGATCCCCAGAGACCCTGTGTGGTCCCTTAGGGGTGGCCACGGCCGGGACTCGAGGACTCCCCTTGGGCAGTTCCTCCCAGCCTGGGGTCCGGGCGGGTTCTGGGGGGTTCTGGCAGGTTTTGGTGGGTTCTGGCAGGTTCTGGTGGGTTCTGGCAGCTTTTGGTGGGTTCTGCCCTCCAGGCCCGGCTCGGGGCAGACTTGGGAGTTTGCCCGCTCAAAGTGTGGCCACAGAGCCGCTGACCAGCCATGATGTCATCGATGATGTCACGCTGTCTGGCCATGACACCATGCATCCCCGGCCGGAGGGGGCGGAGCTGTCTGCCTCGCTGGCCAATGAGAGCTGAACTAACAGTGAGAGACAGCTGAGGGTGGGGCTTTGGAGACCACGGGCCAATGGGAGCAGCAGGAGGCTGTGATTGACAGCAGAGGAGGGTGGAAATCTGCACTCAATGAAAGGAGGAGCTGGGGGCGGGGCTTCACGGACCAATAAGAGGTGCCACTGCCTATGACTGACAGCCGATGGGGCGGGGCCCTGGGCTGCGTTGACCAATAGGAGCGAGCGATGGCCGTGATTGACAGCCGGGCAGCAGAACGCTGCGCTTAATGGAGGGGAGGGGGCGACGGGGCGGGGCCCGGGCCCCGCGACCAATGGGAGGCGTGGCCGCGGTGACTGACAGCTGGGGGCGGGACTCGGAGCGATGGAATTGGTGGGGAGGGGGCTTCGGGGCGTGGCCTAGAGAGGGGGCGGAGCTTCGCCGGGGGCGCGCGGGGACGCGGCGGGCGGGACCCCCGGCGCACGTGACGGCGGCGGTGCGGCGGTGACGTCAGCGGTGTCGCAGCGGGGCCGGAAGCGGGCGGCGCGCGGGGCGGGCGGACAAGATGGCGGACGGGGACAGCGGCAGCGAGCGCGGCGGCGGCGGCGGGTTCGGGACCGCCCGCGGCGGGGCGGGGGGGGCCGGCCCGGCCGCGGGGCCCGGCGGCGGCGGCGCGGCCGGCCCCGAGCAGGAGACGCAGGAGCTGGCGTCCAAGCGGCTGGACATCCAGAACAAGCGCTTCTACCTGGACGTGAAGCAGAACGCCAAGGGCCGCTTCCTCAAGATCGCCGAGGTGGGCGCGGGCGGCTCCAAGAGCCGCCTCACGCTCTCCATGGCCGTGGCCGCCGAGTTCCGCGACTACCTGGGCGACTTCATCGAGCACTACGCGCAGCTGGGCCCGTCCAGCCCCGAGCAGCTGGCCCAGGCCGCGGGGCCGCCGGGCGAGGACGGCGCCGGGCCCCGCCGCGCCCTCAAGAGCGAGTTCCTGGTGCGGGAGAACCGCAAGTACTACCTGGACCTGAAGGAGAACCAGCGCGGGCGCTTCCTGCGCATCCGCCAGACCGTGAACCGCGGCCCCGGCGGCCCGGGGGGGTTCGCGGGAGGCCCCCCCGGGCTGCAGAGCGGCCAGACCATCGCGCTGCCCGCCCAGGGCCTCATCGAGTTCCGCGACGCCCTGGCCAAGCTCATCGACGACTACGGCGGCGAGGAGGACGAGCTGGGCGGCCCCGGCGGCGGCGGCCCGGGCGGCGGGGGGCTCTACGGGGAGCTGCCCGAGGGCACGTCCATCACCGTGGACTCCAAGCGCTTCTTCTTCGACGTGGGCTGCAACAAGTACGGGGTGTTCCTGCGGGTCAGCGAGGTGAAGCCGTCCTACCGCAACGCCATCACCGTCCCCTACAAGGCCTGGGCCAAGTTCGGCGGCGCCTTCTGCCGCTACGCCGAGGAGATGCGCGACATCCAGGAGCGCCAGCGGGACAAGCTCTACGACCGGCGCGCCGGCCCGCCGGGACCCGGCAGCGGCAGCGGCGCCGGTGACGACTCCGACGGCGACGACGTGGACGACGACTGAGCCGATCCCCCCAGCCCTCGACCCCGACGCCGGCCCCCCACCACCCCCCCTGAGCCCCGGGGCGAGCGGGTCCCCGATCCCCCCTCCCAGCGACGGGGCAGAGGGGTCCCGGAGCCCCCGGGTCCCCGCTCCCGGCAACGGGACGAAGGGGTCCCCGAGCCCCCCCCCCAGCAGCGGTGGGGCGCGGGGGTCCCCGAGCCCCCGAGCCCCCCCTCCTGCCGCCACCGGAGAGAGAGAAACCGGCCCGACCGTGCCGCGGCCCCCCCGGCCCCTCCCCGGCTCCCACCAGGGGCCCCCGGACCCCAGGACTCGCTGCTCTGGGGGGGCAGGGGGTCACCCGCAGCCCCCTCTCCTCCCGGTGCCCCCCATCCAAACCAGCACGCGAGGGCCCCGGGGCCGAGCGGCGGCGGCAGCGCCGGGGGCGGGGGGGCAGCGGAGGCACCTTGGACCAACGGCCGTTCCCTCGGCTTGTGATTTTCCCTTCATTTTCCTTTTTATTTTATTTTTTCCCCTTTCCTCCTCTTTCCACTTTTTTTTTTTTGGGGGGGTGGGGGGAGGTTCTTTTTGTTTTTTTTTTTTTGTTGTTTTTTGGTGGTTTTTTTTTTCGGGATGCAAACTCCAGGCGCCCGAACTGGAACCCGCCCCGAGCTGGCGGCTCCCTGGCAATTAGGGAAGATTTCCTCAGTTTTGCCGATTTCTGACCGTTTTCCCCCCCTCCCCGTTTCCCGCCGGGAAGGGGGAGGCGCCGGCACAAAGCACAAGGAAAAACTCGACGGGGCGAACCATCTTCCCCTTCTCTCCAAATAAGGCGCCTCCGGCCCCGTTTCACCAGGACCCGCCGGAATCCACCCCTTGGCTTCACCCAAATTGGATTTTCCGGCCCCAAATCCGTGGCCACGCCCGGCCCCGGCACCTTGGGGGTGGATTTTGGAGGTTTATTGTTATTTTTTGCCTTCTTTTGTCTTTTTTTGCCCCCCTGGGCCCGGCCCTGGCGCCGCCTGGTCCCTCCAGCCACCTCCTATTAAACACATTTTTCCACTCTCAAATAGTCTTTTTTTTTTTTAATTCTTTTTCACTCCCTCGGCTCAGTCCTGCCCTGTACAGAATTCCGGTTTTTCACCCCGTTTTCCCATAACTCTGGACTCCATCGCTCTCATTCCAAAGTTTTGCCTCTTCTTCTCCAACGGTTTCACCACTTGTAGAACTTTTCTTTTTTTTTTTCTCCTTTTAATCCATTTTTGGGAGCCCAATCAGCTGCCTCCTTAATTTATTACCACGGATCCGGCATCTCCCTCTCTCCATATTTATTGGGAAGTGAGGAACGGCCGCAGAGCCCTGGGGAGCCCCCACGCCGCTGTCCATCCGTCCGGCCGGCCCCCGGCACCGTCCCGCCGCTCCCGCCGCCGTCGCTCTTTTTAAAGGGATTTTTAAAGCGAATTTCTTCCGTTTATCCCGTTTTTAAGCCTTCTCCGTCGCAAAGGACCCGGATCCCTCACTCACTCACTCGGGAGCAATAGTCCTTCCTCGATGGCCGATGTGTCCTGTACTGTATTTTGTACCCTCAGGCAGCTCTTTCCGGTGAATTCCTGCTGTATCCACCCATCCTCCTGGTCCTGTGTTCTTTGCCACGGAGAAAAATCCACAAACCACGACGGCGACGACGGATTTGGGGGGAAGAACGCTCCCAGCTCCGCGGGACTCACCGGCGTCCAGCCGCGGGACCTCTCCTTTTATTTTTGAAGAGGATGAGATATATATATATATATATATATATATAAAAAAATATATATATATTCCTTTGGGTTTCTTTCTTTTGGCTGAATTGCGGTGATTTAGCCTTATTTCTACTCTGGGAGAGCGGCGGAATTGCTGCCGGCCCGGCCCAGCTCTGGGGAGCTGGCTAGAAATACATGGAAGAGGAAAAAAAAAGCAAGGCAAAACCACCTAAATCCACTAATAAACCCAAAAAAGCAGCTCCCGGCGTTGGCCCAGGGAGCCTTTCCTGGCCAGAGAAGCGCTGGATCCATGGACACAACCTCCCACAGCTCCATTTGGGTGGGAAGAGCAGAGCACGTCGGGGGAAGACAGCGGAGAAAAACACCAAATTGAGATAAAATAGGGGAAAAAGGGGATTTGAGGTGCCAGCTGGAGCGAGGGGAGCAGCCATGGGGGCAGTTTTGGGTTATTTTTTCTCTTGGAGCCCCCCAGGAGGCGTTGGGAGTGTCCCAGGAATGCGGGACAACGCCGGCATCTCCCCTGACCCCCTTCTCATCTCTGTGTGTATAGACGTGGCTGTGTGTACATAGCTCAGATTCGGTTGGGTTTTGGGTTGAATTCTGTAGAAAATGGGCAAATTGCTTTTTTCTCTTTTTTTAATTTTTATTTTTAAACCACAAATAGGGGGGAAAATATCCCGAATTCCTGGTACTTCCAGCTTTGCTGCCCCAGAGGGGCTCACGGAGAACGCGATGATGGCTGTACAGACAGAATATTGGAAGTCTTGTACAGCGCCCCAAAACCCACTGGAAAATACCCCAAGTGGCTGGATCTGGAGCGGGTGGTGCTTCCAGGGCAAGTTCAAACAGCTTCAGTTCTTGTTGCCCTCAAAAATACAAAAGAAAATTTGGATTCTCCTGCCGTGTTTCCAGGCGATTTGGGGGCAGTGGGGGCTGGTTTGGGGGGCCACGCCATGGCTCCTCATGTTGGTCACAAAACCAACCCAGACCCTCACTGGCCTCTCATAAAAAAAGCAAAATGTGGGGAAAAAATCGCAAAAAACTGGAAAAGATTTTAAAAGAGCAGCTGAGGGAGCACTGGGGGTAGGCAGGGTGGTGCAGCAGGGAGCTCAGCAGGTATTCCCAGTGTGGGCTCCGTGGATGCTCCCAGCTGTTCCTGCAGGGCGAGGCCCTCACCCTCCTCGCCCTCCTCGCCCTCCTCATCCTCGCGGAGCCGGTAGAGCCAGCGTTGCCGGGGCTGGGCGTTGGCGGGAGCAGCCAGATGCGGGCGGGACGGCCGGGGAGGAGCACGGCACGGCACGGCACGGCCTGCAGCCCCATCCCACCCGGGGCTCGGGCCTCAGAGCAGCGGCGAGAGCGGCTCCAGACACGGGGCAGCCCAGCCACGGGCCGGGACAGCATCGGTGGGGAGAGCGCTGCATCCTCCTCCAAGAGCCACGCGCTCCCGGAGCTGGATTCGCTGACAGCCGGGTCCTCCAAGAATGGCATCCTCCGAAAGCTGGATCCTCCCGAGTGCCCGATCCTCCTCCGAGAGCTGGATCCTCCTCCAAGCTGGATCCTCTGAGAGTTGGATCCTCCAAACACTAGACCCTCCTCTTCGAGCTGGGGTCTTCTCCAAGCAGCAGATCCTCCTCGGAGAGTTGGATCCCCTGAGAACTGGATCCCGTGAATGTTGGATCCTCCTCCGAGCAGTGGATCCTCCTCGGAGCAGCAGATCCCGGGAGCGCCGCCTCCCTCCCCGAGCGCTCGCCATGACGTCCCTTTGCCGAAAAGAGAAAAAAAAAGAAAGTTTTATTCCTGTTATTTTTTTAATGAAAGAAAAACAAAAACTAAAGCAAACCTGCACTTTAGGCGGCCGGGGGGGCCGGGGCCCCCGTGTCCCTTCCCTGCGGCCGGCGGGGCGGCTCCAGGGGCCGGAGGCAGGTCCTGGGTGTTACCACTAGCGCAGACGAGGCCGACGCGACGAACTCCTCCTGCTCCGAGCACTCCTGACGTAGCAGATTTTTGCAAATGGAGTTTTACAGTCTATATTTAAAGAATTGTATGTTTGTAACAAATAAAGTATGCGGAAAAGTGAATGAAAACCAGCCCGGGCCCGACTTGCTCCTTGGGGATGCCGTGGGGGGCCCTGCAGGGTGGAGGTGGTGGTGAGGGGTGGGGTGGTCACCCTGTGGCATTGCAGGGACACGCAGGATGTCCCCCACAAACGGAACCTGGGGTGTCCTGAGGGGATGGCCTCACTCAGGGGAGCTGGGGACCAGCACGGTGGGGAGGGAGGCTTGGCGTGGCATAGGCATGGTGTGTCACAGCGCACGGTGTGTGCACAGCATAACGTGTGTGTGGGTGTGTGTGAGGTGTGCGTGCCAGCACGCGGCTCCGTGTGTAAGGTGTGTGTAAAGTGAGGATACGGCATTGTGCCATCACATGGCTGCCTGCCGTGGGAGGGTGTGTGTAAAGCGTGTGTAAGGCATTTGTGCCATCACATGGCTGCCCGCTGTGTGCGGGTGTAAGGCTGGCAGGGTTTGGCGCGGCCCGCGTGCGGTGTGTGTGCCGTGGCTCAGGCAGGTGTGTGCGCACAGATGCGAAAGCGTTGCGTGCCACGCACACGCCTGCGTGCCGTGTGTCAGGTGCGTGTGCCGTCCCACGGCCGTGCCATCGCGGAGCGGTGCCCGGGGCGCCGTGCCGTGTCCCCGCCGTGCCCGTGCCGTGTCCCCACCGGCCGGCGCTGCCGCAGCCCCCGCCCCCCGCGCTGCGGCTCCCTGCGGGCTCGGGCTCATCTGAGGACACGCGGGGACCGCCTGCGCATGAGCGGCCGTCACCGCCATCGCTGTCACCGCCATCGCTGTCACCGCCACCGGGGCCCGCCGCGACCCCCGCCCGCCCCGCGGCTCCTCCCCCTGCCGGGCCCGCGGCCCGCGTACCCCCGCGGCCGGGGGAGCGGCTCCTCCGGCCCCATCCCCGGCCCCACCGCACCCCGCAGCTGCTGCGGCCCCCCCGGCTGGCCCCGGGGATCGGGGGAGCTGGGGACAGCTGGAGGGGCCCCGGGAACAGCCGGGGGGCCCTGCATGGAGCCCGGGGGGGAGCCGCCCGCGGCAGTTGCTGCGCCCCGGGGCAGGTGCGGCACTCCCGGGATGCGGAGGCAGCTGCGGCATGAGGGGTGGGCGCACCCTGAGCCCCCCGGCAGCTGCAGCGAGGGGCGCGGGCCGCCTCGGCCCTGCCCAGTGCAGGGAAACTGGCACCGGTACAGCCGGGGGGAGCAGGAACAGGTGCCGCCTCCCCCTGGCGGAGCGGGATGGGGGCACCGGAGCCCCCCGGCGGTGCGGCGAGGAGCGGGCACGGTGCGCGGCTCTCCACCCCGCCCGCTATGGAGGAAGCTGAGGCCCGGCCGGCAGGACACCCCATGGCCGTGGGGCAGCGGCCGCACCGGGGGCAGCCGGGCTGAGGGTCCCGGGCCCCGGCTTCAGCCGGGCTGGGCTGTGCTGTGCGGGGCTTCCCTGTGTGGGGTCCACCAGGTCCGAGCCGCTGCCCTGGCACCGACCCTCGCTGGTGAATCCCCGGTTCCATTTACGAGCTCAGCTCGCCCCACAGTGAGGTTCCATTCGGCACTGAACGGGGCCCGTCATGAGGAACTGAGGTTTTATTCGCTGTGACATGTTTGCTCGGAAAAGGGCCCTCTTCCCCCCAAACAGGGCCGTGAGTTTTTGGTCTTTTTGGCCACACCGCCGTCACCACTGACAGACCCTCTGGCCTCTCAGGGTCCGCCCCAGCCCCCAGTCCGGCCCGGGGGCGGCGGGGTCCGTGTTACCTCACGACCGCTGCCCTCCTCACTCATCCTACAGGGCAGCGCGGGGTTATTTGTGTACTGTTCCAGAGACACCGGCGGGCCCGGGTGTCCCCTCTCAGCCCCGAGCAGCGCCGGAGGAGCAAAGCCCCCGAAGCCGCCAAACCCCCGCGCTCCCCTCACGATCCGCCCCCCCCCCGGCTCCCTCACACAAACACGACCGGGGGCGGGGCAATGGAATGGGCGGGAAACAGCACCCGCTTTCGATTGGTTTGGTGAGCTGTCCATCATTATAACCCCGCCTCTCATGGTGGCGTTCGTTATCGCTATTCGCCGTGTGGTGACGTCACCGACGCGAGCGCGCCCCGCCCTCACCCCGCTGCGTGCCGTGTGCAAAGGCAACACAGCCGTTAAACGAGCCGCTGGGCGGAGCCAGCGATGGACGAGAAAAGAAGCGGTTCGCCCATTGGGCACCGCGGGATGTTCAAACTAGTATGGGAGGCGGTGATTGGTGGAGACGCGGCGCGGCCCGCCGCCCCCGCCCGGGCGGGTCATTGTCTGGCGGCTCCTGAGGCGGGTCGGGCGCGGCGGTGGCTTTGGGGTTCGGACGACGGCGGCGGTACCATGGTGAGGGCAGGGGCAGCGGTGCGGCTCGGGACTCGGGGGGCCGGCCAGGACAGCGCGGCCGGGCAGAGCCGGGCCCCGCGGGGCCGCCAATGGGCGCCGCTGTCAGCGCAGGCCGGGCGGGGGGAGGGGGCCGGGCCCCGGTCCGTGACCTTGGGTCCGGCCCGGCGCTGCCCCGGTGCCCCGTGCCCGCTGCCGCCTGGTTCCCGGGCAGGGGGTTTGTGCTGCCCTCCAAGCCCGGCCCCGCCGGTGCCCTCCCGCGCTGTCAGAGCGGCGCGGTGGCGGCCGGGGTCTCCTCGGCCGCGGTTCGTGCCGGTTATGGGGCGGTTGGACGGCAGAAAGAGGCTGTCGTGAGGGAAACGTCGGTCGAGGGGCCCGAACCGGCTCTGTCAGCCGCCCGGCGCCTCCTCCGGGGTTACACGGACACATCTCAGCCCGCTTCCCGGGGAAACGGCCCGGTCCGGGGGGAGAGACGGGGGGTTCATTCTGCCCGGTGCCCCGGTCCTGTGGGCCCGCAGGGGGAACGGGCGCAGCCGGGTGTGGAGCTGTCAGCCAGGGCGGGCAGGGGGATGCGGGTTACGGGTTCCCTGTGGGTCGGCAGGGTCGCTGAGGGGGTTCCGCGGGTCAGCGGCAGCACTCTGTGGTTCCATGGCCGGGTTCCGTGGGTTCGCAGCGGGTTCCGGCGGGTCTGTGCAGCCGCGGGGGTTCTGCCGTTCTCCGGAGATCCACGGGAGAGGCTCTGTGGGTCCGCAGGGGGTCGGGGGGTTCTCCGGATCCACAGGTGGGCTCGGGGGGTTCCCTGGGGGCTCCGGAGCCGGCGGTGAGAGCCCCGGTCCCTTCGCGGTAATGGAAACACCGTTGGGTTATGCAACTCCGGCTGCCGCCAAGAACTTGTGCTCGGGGATGTCTGGGAATGTGCGGCACGAGATAAGAAGTTGCTGCTTGCAGGGGTTTTATCCTGTTTGAAGCAATAAGAAAAGAAAAAAAAAAAAGCAAGTTTGCCTGCCGTGAAGAAGCCAGCGGGTCAGAGCCAGGGAGGGAGGATTTAGCTCGGGAATGTGCTCCCAGCGAGGGGCTGTGGTGGAGAGCAGCGATGGAGATGCCACAGGGATTGTCCCAAGGTGGAGGGTGAGGAGGGAATTGCTGGGGATTGTCCCCTCAGGAGGGAGGAGTCCAGGAACCCGCACTCCCAGCACGGAATGGGATGATCTCCCATAAGGGAGCAGGAGCCACCTGGGCTGGGGGAGCTTCCCATCGGGACAAACCTCGGAGTTCTTGCTCTTGGTAGTCAATCCCCCTGTGAAAATGTCTCAGGCAGGCGGCTCCGAGCTGGAAAACCTGCTGGGGCAGTGGGAAATTCACAGCTGCCTGAGAAAAGCCCGCAGAGGGAACAGGCAGTGCTTTTCCCAACGCTGCTTGTTATTCCTGGAGTAAGGAAATATCCACAAATCCCCCTTGCCTCCCCCTTCCTTTCCCATCGATCTCCCTTCCCACCCCTCGAATCCACCCCCAAAACGCCCCCCTTGAGTTCAGCAGCTTGAGGCAGCAATGTTTTCTCCTGATGAAAGTAACTCCTACGGAGGGGATTTGCTGGGTCCCCCATGGCCTCGCCCCCCTGCTTGCTTTAATCACCTCGGGATTAATTAATGCCCCCTCGTGACTAATTTATTTTCCAGTGTTTGAACTGAACCTTGTGTTAACTCCCACCTGTCCAGATCCTGGACATTCCCAGGTTAACCAGCATCTTCTTTTAAGGATTAACGTGCTCCACTTGCTTTCCTGGCCTGTCTGAATCCTTTCAGCTCCCTCACCATGAAGCAAAATTCCTCTTTTTTAGAGGGGATTGGGATTTTGGGATCAATATATTCTAGAAAAACAGGGATTGTGAATATCTAGGGTGTTTACAAGCTCCCTTGTCTTTCTGTGGGCTGGAAAACTTGTGTTTGGGGATGCTTACCCCTGATTTTGTTTACCTGGAGCAGATTTTGGGTTGCTGACGTCTGTCCCACGGGGAGGGTGCGGCTCCCTCTGCTTTCCTGCGTCACCCAGAACTCTCACCTTCATTAGGAACAGCTCTCATCAGTGATTAATGATGTCATAGGGGCTTCGCATGTCCCTGGAATCCGTGGATTTCCTGGCAGCGGATGGGAGAGCCCGTTCTCTCTTCCTAGTTACTCAGCGACTCCCAAACTCTGGGCTTTGGCATTTCCACCCCTCCCAACGTGGTTTTCATTAAAGACACCATTTCTGAGGCTCCTGGTGGTTTCCCTCTCTGGAGCAGGAGGGGAATTAGCCCTGAATCCCACAGGATTCACGTTCCCATGTGCAGGAACAGTGTCCTGCCCAGTGTCAGCATGGGGAAATCAAATCTGGAAACAAACTGGGCTCGCAACAATGGGATTTTGGGCTGTTTCCATTTGGCATTTTCTGGAAGATCCTGAGAGTAGTGGCAGCAGGGTGAGAGCCTGGGTGAGGGAGCAGCTGCTGCACCCTGAAACCCTCCCTTGTTTATCCCCTTGAATCCGCGTGGTTCGAGCGGCCCCGAGTTGCCAGGGAGCTGCCAGCTTATCCTGCAGCGGGTCCCTCTGGCTTAGAGTTAACGGGATTGTTTGGATTCAGGGGCCGATTAGATTAATTAACAGGCCCCTTTCTCCCGCAGGCTGGTGGCAAGGCGGGCAAGGACAGCGGCAAGGCCAAGGCCAAGGCCGTGTCGCGCTCCCAGAGGGCTGGGCTGCAGGTACGCTCAGGGCGCTGGGCACCCACGCCTCTGATTTGGGGTCAAAACAGGGGGGTTTGGCACTGGGAGGGGCGTGGAGCCATGGGGGTTTTGCTGCCAGGTGGGACACAGAGACTGGGAGGATTAATTGGGAGAAGTGTTATATTATTATATTCATTATAATATTTCTATTATAATATTGTATATTACAATATTTTATATTATAATATTATGTGGTATAATATTTTATATTGTAATATTATATAATATGTACTTTATTATAATTTTTACTATATATTTCATTATATTTTAAATTAATAATTATTATGATTAAAATACAATTATTTTATGCTATACAAGGTATAACTCATATGCACATTTTAGATATAACTTATATCCCATTTTATATATATTATGCTATACAAGATATAACGTATATACACATATACACTTACATACATTTTAGTAAATTATATTTTATGAGATATATATATCTCATCAATATATATAATAAAAATATGTCAATATATATCAAAACCATATCATATGTTACTATAACATATGTTAATAGTAGCTATTAACTATCAATAAATAAATTGGCTAGTGATCTGTTTGGAGAGTTGCAGCCCAGATCAGCCGTGCAGGGTGTAACTGTGCACACCGTGGGGGCTGCGTGTGTTAACGAGGTTGCTAATTGCCCCCAGTTCCCAGTGGGCCGCATCCACAGGCACCTGAAGACTCGGACCACCAGCCACGGGCGCGTGGGCGCCACGGCAGCCGTGTACAGCGCGGCCATCCTCGAGTACCTGACGGCCGAGGTAGGGCCCCCTCCCCTCCCTGTGCAGCCCCTGCGGCCCCTGCCCGGCACCCCCACCCACCCACTGCCGCCCTCCCGCAGGTGCTGGAGCTGGCCGGGAACGCGTCCAAGGATCTCAAGGTGAAGCGGATCACGCCCCGGCACCTGCAGCTGGCCATCCGCGGCGATGAGGAGCTCGACTCGCTGATCAAAGCCACCATCGCCGGAGGAGGTGGGGCTGCCTCCCTGCTACCCGCTGGGGGGACTGGGGCAAGGAGGGAACGGGGGAAACCAGACAGGGACTGGGGCAAGGAGGGAATGGGGGAAACCAGACAGGGATTGGGGCAAGGAGAGAACGGGGGAAACCAGAGAAGAATTGGGACAAGGAAGGGATGTGGGAAACCAGATAGGGATTGTGGCAAGGAGGAGAATTTGACAGGAATTTGGCATAAGCACCTGGGCTCGCTGCTTCCCTCGATTCACACTGAGGGGGATCTGCTTGACGTTCACAAAATGGGGAGTTGAGGGTTTTTTGGAGTTTGTTGGGAATTCTGCAGGCGGGTTCACAGGATTTCTCCTCCCCTCTCTCTGCAGGTGTCATTCCCCACATCCACAAGTCTCTGATTGGAAAGAAGGGACAGCAGAAAACGGCGTAGAGGGAGCGCGGCACCGGATCCCCCGTCATTGTACTGTACCTGGGCACAGGAACATCTCGGGGACACGAGGGATTTTTTTAAGGAATAGTTGAAGGGAAGAGCATAGAGGATTGACTGTAGAGGAAGCATTGGGATGGGTTTAGATTCTGAGTAGGACACACCGCGGGCTGTGGGGCGGCAGCTGGGGGTGGGCGAGTGGCTCGGCTGCCCCCGCGTTTTATACAAAAATGGAACCCATAAACCATTTTTTACAAAAATCCAGACTGTCTCTAGTGGTGGGAGGGGAGGGGGCTTCGCGACCTCCCCGGTACCGGAGAGGGACAAGCACCGCCCACTATTCAAATACGCGGTGGGTGGGGCGTGTCGCAAGGCCCCGCCTCCCGGGAGCGCATGTCCGGCTCTGTCCGTCTGTCCAGCCATGGAGGTGTCTGTCTGTCCTGGCCTAATACGGGAGCGTTTGTGTGTCCGTCCCGCCCATCTGAACGGTGTCTGTGTGTCCATCTGTCCCTGGGCCGGGGGTGCCAGCAGGCACCGAATGGGAGTGTGCGTGTTTGTCAGACAGGTCTGGCTGTGTGGGGGCCACATCTCCATCCCTCCGTCTGTCTGTCTGTCTGTCTGTCAGTCAGTCTGTGACTGCCAGGCTCTGTCAGTCCTGGCTGTCCCTCTGTCCTGCCCGCGAGGGTCCTGCCCAAGCTCGCACCGAGCCCCGGATGTAGCAGCTGCATACGGGGGCGCTTCGGGCCGGGCCTGGAGGCGGTGGCAGGGGCAGCCGCAGCCGGGTCGGCTCCTGCACTGGCAACACCGGGCGCCGGTTGCATCAGGCGTCAAGTGGCCCTGACGGCCGAGGGCACCATCAGGGCCGTGCCCGGGCTCAGGCGCGCCCCGCCGCACCGCAGCGCCTGGGGAAGCCGCGGGACCGGCTGTGACGGGGGCAGGGGCCGGGCCGGGGCCGGGGCCGGTGCCGCCGGGCCCGAGGTCGCACAATGGCGACGCCGGTCTGCGCAAGATGGCGGCGGACGGGGGCGGGGCCGTCCTCGCTGCCCGCGGGCCGAGCACTGCGCATGCGCGCTCCGTGCCATCGCCGGGCGCATGCGTGCGCCGCCGCGCGCCTCGAGCTGCCGGGCCGCGCGGGAGGCACCATGCGGATACCACGGGGGAGTACGGCGGGGGCCTCGGTGTCTGACCGCCCCATTGCTCCATGCGGGGCAGAGGAGACGGCCTGACCGGTGGTTTAACTCCGGTAAGTGCACGGCTGACAGTGGGGCTCTACGGGCTGCCCCGGAGATTGATTTCAAGCTCCGCGTTACGTAACGTCCTCCCCCTGCCCGACTGCAGTGGTTCTGGCCCTCCGCCCCCGTGGCCTGTATGACGCTCGCCATTGGCTGGAGCAGCAGCGGGGCGGGGCGAGAAGGCTATAACTAGAGGCGGCGCGGTAGGGGCCGCGTTCAGTCCATCGCTGCCGCGCTCGGGTTCTGCTGCTGCTGTGCTCTCCTCTTTCGCCTGTCGCCGCCCATCGCGCCACCATGAACGGGCAACTGAACGGTTTCCACGAGGTGTTCATCGAGGAGGGCACCTTCCTCTTCACCTCCGAATCCGTGGGCGAGGGGCACCCAGGTGCGGGCCGAGCGGGGCTGGGCGGGGCGGCGATCGCGCAGGCGCGCCCGGGGGCGGGAGGGGGAGAGGAGGAGGATGAGGATGGCGAGGATGAAGATGAAGGCGAAGGAAGTGAGGATGAGGATGGAGGGGAATGAGGGTGGGCCGGGGGGGCGGGCGGGCGGTGACGCGGGCGGGCGCGCGCGCAGTGTGAAGCGGGCGCGCGCTCGCCGCATTGCGGGCCCGGCGCGCACGTGCGGCCCGCGTGGGGCGGGACACGGGGGGCGGGGGGGGAGCCGGTGCCGCCGTGACTCAGCCGTGACTAAGCAGCTCCCGGTGCCCCCGCACCCCGCGGGACCCCCCCAGCCCCGTGGGCCCCGTCCCCGCGCGGATGGCGGCGGTAACACCGGCCCGGTGAGCCCCACACACGCACCCCACGGAGGGCCGCCCTCAGCCCGCCCCGCGCCCCCCGACGGTGTCGCCCGGCCGGTGGTGAAGTGCCGTGGGTCTCCCCGGATGTGCCCTCCCGCCGCAGCGGGGCGGTGGTTGGAGCCCCCCAAGCTCGGTACCAGCCGGTGCCGGTCTCTCCCGGTCTTTGTCCTCGCCGTTTCGGGGCACATGACCGTTAATCTGCGGAGGCGGCTGCCAACGCCCAGTGCCCGCTGTTCCGGCGCACCCAGAACCCCTAAACCCTCTCCGCTCCGGGCACTCGGGCACCCAGAGCCCGTTGAGCGGCCCCCGAGTTCCCATCAGCTCCGGATCCCACTCGGGCCCCACAGCGCCCCACAGCTCTGCTCTTTTTGGCTCCAGCACCCCCGGCCCCATAGCACAACCTGTGCCTGCTCTGGGGCTCTTCCCCCGCTGCCTGAGGGAGGAGGCTCTGAGATCCGATTCCTCTTTCCCACCAAAAAGCATCCGGGGCATCCTCCTGTCCTCGCCCAGATCCTGCCCGGAAGGTCGCTGCCAAGGACACCCGCAGTCCCGGGGACACGGGTGGCCCTTGGGACACCCTGCACCCACACGAACCCCCCGGGAGCCGGAGGGAGCTGGTGTCTGGTGGGGTATGGCTGGAGCAGCTCTGGCTGGAGGCAGAGCTGCTGGGAGCTGGCGTGCTGCGGATTTGGGAAGCTGGCACACGGGTCTGATCCCCTCAGCGGTGCCACAGGGCTCAGCCTTAGTTGGAGCTGGAGCTTAACTGGGACATGCCTGGAATTCCAGACTGGGGACAAGGCGAGGGCTGTGTGCGCCCTGGGGGGCTCCTGGCTCGTGGGGCTCTGATCCCCGTGCTGGAGGCTCCGGAAGGAAGGGCTGTGCTGTGTTGGGCTGTCCCACGCCGCCGTGACGCCTCCTGCTCTCTGTGTCCCCAGATAAAATCTGCGACCAGATCAGCGATGCTGTCCTGGATGCCCACCTCAAGCAGGATCCTGATGCCAAGGTGGCCTGTGGTGAGTAAGAGCAGCAGGGCACAGGCAGTGGGTGACGGGGAGGTGACGGCACGCTGACGTCACCCTTGTCCCTGCAGAGACGGTGGCCAAAACCGGGATGATCCTGCTGGCGGGGGAGATCACCTCGCGGGCCAACGTGGACTACCAGAAGGTGGTGCGGGACACCATCCGGCACATCGGCTACGACGACTCCTCCAAAGGTGTGTCCCGGGCTGCCGCGGCCTCGGCGACAGCACGGGCCAGCACCGGGCTCACCCGAGCTCCCTTTGTCCCCTCAGGGTTCGACTACAAGACGTGCAACGTGCTGGTGGCCCTGGAGCAGCAGTCCCCGGACATCGCCCAAGGCGTGCACCTGGACCGCAGCGAGGAGGACATCGGTGCCGGTGACCAGGTGAGCCCGGGGCCGTGGGCTCCCTGTGGAGTGACCGGGGCTGGGCGTGGTGTGACCCCCTTGTCCCTGTGCCGCAGGGGCTGATGTTTGGCTACGCCACGGACGAGACGGAGGAGTGCATGCCCCTGACCATCGTCCTGGCACACAAGCTCAACGCCAAGCTGGCCGAACTGCGCCGCAGCGGAGCCCTGCCCTGGCTGCGCCCCGACTCCAAGACACAGGTGAGGCGCCGGTGGCTCCACAGAGCCCCGGGCAGCCCCGTGTCCCCGCCTGGCCTCTGACGGGTGCGGTGTCCCCGCAGGTGACGGTGCAGTACATGCAGGACCGCGGGGCCGTGATCCCCATCCGGGTGCACACCATCGTCATCTCGGTGCAGCACGACGAGGACGTGTGCCTGGACGAGATGCGCGATGCCCTCAAGGAGAAGGTCATCAAGGCCGTGGTGCCCCCCAAGTACCTGGACGATGACACCGTCTACCACCTGCAGCCCAGCGGCCGCTTCGTCATCGGCGGGCCCCAGGTGCAGCCCGGGGCACTGTGGGGACAGCAGCGACACGGTGCTGGCGGTGGTGGCACCATGATGGTGCGGTGCTGAGGGCTGGTGACGGCATGGTGACGGTGACACTTATGGTGGCACAGTGGTGACGAGAATGGCGCAGAGGTGGCGTGGTTATGGCGGCAGCAGTAACACGACAGTGATCGCAGCACAGCGACGATGACGCTGGTGCCGCACCGGGGTTGTGACGCTGCTGTCCCTGTCCCCCAGGGCGACGCGGGGCTCACCGGCCGCAAGATCATCGTGGACACGTACGGGGGCTGGGGCGCGCACGGCGGCGGCGCCTTCTCGGGCAAGGACTACACCAAGGTGGATCGCTCGGCCGCCTACGCCGCACGCTGGGTGGCCAAGTCCCTGGTGAAGGCCGGGCTGTGCCGCAGGGTGCTGGTCCAGGTGGGTGCCGCTTCTGTGTGGGTGCCCCCCCTCTCAGGGTCTGGGGTCCGGCCTCACCCACAGCCCCGTATCCCCCCCGCAGGTGTCCTACGCCATCGGGGTCTCGCACCCCTTGTCCATCTCCATCTTCCACTACGGCACCTCGCAGAAGAGCGAGCGCGAGCTGCTGGAGATCGTCAAGAAGAACTTCGACCTGCGCCCCGGGGTCATCGTCAGGTAACGGGCGCGGGGGGCTGTGCCGGGGGGCGGGGCGGGCGGGGGTCCCTCCCGGAGCAGCCCGGGGACCGCCTGGCGCCTGGACCCGGCGCGGAGCCGCTCGGCCGGACGGAGAAGGCGCGCTCGGGGCGCGGACGGGGTAAGTATCCGCCGGAGCCGAGCGCTTGGAGCTTCCCCGGCTCCGGAGCCCCGCGGGCGCGGCCCGGGAAGCTCCAACCGCCCCGCGGGGCGGGGAGGGGGCGGAGGCGCCGCTGCGGAACCCCCGGCCAGGCAGGGAAGGAAGGGGCGAAGGCAGGAGCCCGGGGCAGCCTCACTGAGTCGGGAATTGTGTATTCCAGGGATCTGGATCTGAAGAAGCCCCTCTATCAGAGGACCGCAGCCTATGGCCACTTTGGTAGGGACAGTTTCCCTTGGGAAGTGCCCAAGAAACTAAAATACTGAGAAAAGAGCATTGTTAGGGCTTTTCCCCCCACTCCTGCGGGCGTAGGTTACAGAGAAGCCCGTGGGCTCTGGGGGAAGAGCTCCCGGCCCCCCCCAGGCTCCCCGGCCCCCCCATTGTCTCTCACCATCGTTTTGGTTGTGTGGGGACCACGTGCCTCTCCTGGAGCCCCCCTCGTGTCCCCCCAATTCCCTCTGGATGGTTTTTAACAAATGTCT